TTGCCGCCTTTCTCAAATTAACTCCTACTAGAACTAGTCGGCCTCAAAACCCACCCTGCTCGACTTTCATAATTCAAAAATTCCCTTTACTTTTCTCCCAAGAAAGTTGTTCCCCCCTATTTATACCCATACTCCATTGGAAGAACGAAACAAAATCTTAGTTTGCTCTAGCTTCTGAGTTGTAATTTACAAGAAAATAATTTGTTGCAATTACACAGAAAAGAAATATGGTTGAACTCCTGAGTCGTGATGATTTTAAGCACATTGATCCCAATGGAGATCCTTTCGAATGGTTGCTTCAAATAGCCAAATTTGAGGGAGAGAAACTGCAGGAAAACCATGATCATGGCCGTTCCAATGGTTTCGAATGCAATGCACCGCTACCTGAGTTTCTTTGCAAGAAAGAAAGCATGGGGTTCGACAACAATGGTGGGAAGAAACCGAAACGGAAGTTGAAAGAAGAAGATGGTGATGGAGATTGGGGAAGTGGACTGAAACCCAAGTTGAAGAGACGCAAGAAACAGAAACCCCAATCCCTAATCCCAACACCCGACATGCCGGACAGATTCAAACGGTACATACTTGAAGACATGGGTGGTTCTGGCTTGGTTCTAGTCATTCAAAAGACCCTCTTTTTCTCCGACGTTAATCATACCGCCAGCCGCTTCTCCGTACCCTTCTCGCAAGTCAAAAGCCACGACTTTCTGACAAAAATAGAGGCGGATGGCTTGGCTCACAAGAAACCAATGCAAGTGTGCTTCTTGGATCCATCGATGGAGAAAACTACCATGACTTTTAACAGGTGGGACATGGGGAAAAACTCACTCTACGTGATGATCGGATCGTGGAACTCAGTAGTGGAGAGCAACAAACTCAAGAAGGACGAGATTGTGCAACTCTGGTCTTTCCGAATGAATTCACAGCTATGCTTCGCATTAGTCAGAGTCTAAGATCCAACACCAAGGTTAACAAGTATATGTGTAGGCTTCTGTTATTTTTGTTCTTTCTAAAATCAAGAATGTTTGGTTATTTTAGCTAATGTAGTTATCAGACGTCTACTGCTAAATTAAATGGAGGACTACTGCCTTGCATCAATCCGAATAATAAGCCTTAAGAAAGTGTTATACTAAAGAGAATGAAAGTTATATTTTTTTCTTCTAATCAATTTGCAAAAACATACAATACAGCATAAGGACGTGTATGAATGTGACAGTCAGCTGAACAATCAGTCCATGTGTGTAGTATAATGAAGCTTGCAGCTTCACTCGATACCCATAATCATTTAAAAATAGATCAATTCCAAGGTTAGCATTCGTGTTCGTACACTAAGAATAATACGTTCTTACACACAGTTTTAGTCCATAATGAGCAATTGCAACATGACTAGATTTCGTGCAGTTCACGGTAAAGCTGCAGTTCCCTTGTCCGTGAGCAGGTCGAAAAAAGGATAGTCCATAATGCGCTTTAATGCATTTATCTTGAAACGCTTCGCATACTCTCCGTGGCTTGACATCAATAGTGTCGGCTGTGAACCTCACCCCATTTGATGCATCCCAATGCTATGGAGTGGGGTGTGCTAAATGAAGCAGCTGCTATTGGGCACAAGAGAAGTACTACAAGTAGTGAGGTTGGCTCATTAGGATTCGGTATACATTCGAAGGAGCAGTTCGATCGGCTTGGTGCATAATTAGATTGTATCGCTTAGGGGTGTTCAAATAATCGAATTAATTCGGTTAACCGACCGAACCGAATTAGTTCGGTTAATTCGGTTCGGTTACCGAATTAGTTCGGTCGGTTAACGGTTAAGAAAATTTTTAGAATTCGGTTAACGGTTAATTCGGTTCGAATTCGGTTAATTAACCGAATTAACTGAATTAACCGAAATTAAATTTTAAATATTAAATATATTATATATAACATATGGGCTCAGCCCAAACTATTTAAAACCCAATTAATAATTTAAGATCTAATAACTTTTAAACCTAAATCAATATTAATTAATTAAAAAATTATATAAAATTTTTATTTTATAATTATATATTATTTAAATTAATTATAAACTGTTTTTTAATTAAAAAATATTAAATATTATATATAACATATGGGCTAAGCCCAAACCATTTAAAACCCAATTAATAATTTAAGATCCATTAACTTTTAAACCTAAATCAATATTAATTAATTAAAAAATTTATCTGAAATTTTTATTTTATAATTATATATTATTTAAATTAATTATAAACTTTTTTTTAATTAAAAAACATTTAATTTTTATATAAATTAGAAAATTTTAAAAAAAATTCGGTTAATTCGAAAATTAACCGAATTAACATAAATTTATTCGGTTCGGTTAATATGTTTGAAAAAAAATTCGGTTCGGTTAACGGTTAAAGAAAAAAAAGTTTAGTTAATTCGGTTCGGTTCGGTTTTAACCGAATGAACAACCCTACTGGAAACCAAATGGAAGCACGATATCCTCATGCAGAGAACATATGAACTTGCATCCACACACAAGCAAACATGGCTTGCAATTTCTAAGAGCATAACGTTAAATGGCATTCAATCAACCATTGTATGTTTATATTTGCATCGAACATCTGTCTAGATCAATGAACAACATATAATGTAAATGTGAAATAACTTGAAACATTTTGACCCAAACATTTCGAACATTCAGTGAGTAAGTTAAAAAACTTGAAAATACAATGAATTAATTAGGAGATAGAGTAAAATCCAGTAAAAAATAGTATAATTTACGCATTAGAAAATTATATAACCTAAAATCCTAAATAACAATCATTTCAATAATTTTTTTATAAATATTAAAAACAATTATAATTATTCTAGTCACTATTTTAATATTATTTTTTGTCTCAAATTTTTTTTAAAAAAAATATTTTCTTTAAATAGATGTGTATATCTTCTTCTTCCTTTTCTTTTACACACTAAATTAAATTTGGTAAATTTCACATAGATACAATTTTCATATATAAATTTAATCTCCACTATCATTATTTAAAAAAATCATTATCATTATAGAAGTTTAACCCTCATATTTAAAATATTTCCCATAGATACATATAAATTATGTCCTTTACATTTGAAAATTTTATATGTTCCTATTATTTTCTTTGTATGATAACAATTTAAAATAGGGTAGAAACCCTAATTGATATGGACCGTCAGATCACTCTCAGATCTGACGGCTCAAGGCATGTAGTGCGGATGAAAGATATTAGGGTTTGGAAAACCCTAATTCGAGGTAGATCTAGACTATTGGATGAGGTCCAGATCTGATGAGTGAGATTAAGTGACAGATTGGCTTAGAGATGGCTAGGGTTTTATATAGGGGTGAGCAACGAAACCGAGAAAACCGAAAAATCGACACGAACCGAGTAAAACGGTTCGGTTCGGTTCGGTTTGGCTTTAAACGGTTTGATTTTCGGTTCGGTTTAAAGGCTTCATTTTTTTATTCGGTTCGGGTTTTCCATATGGAACCCATTTGTTCCATATTGAACCGAATAGGCAATTTTTGTAAAAAAAATTATAGTTTCAAGTGATTTTTTATTGAAAAACCGAACCGAACCGAACCGAACCGAAAAACCCGAACCGTTAAAAAACCCAAACCGAACCGAAAAAACCGTTTCGATTTTTTCGGTTTTTTAACTATTCGGTTTCGGTTTCGGTTTAAATATTGAAAAACCGTTTATTTCGGTTCGATTCAATTTTTAGTAAAAAACCGAACCGAACCGAACCGAATACACCCCTAGTTTTATATGGTATTAGCCTCATATTTTTAGGCTATGTAAAATAGGTCTGTAAAAAAATTTATTTAACTTTTGAGTTTTTTTAATAATAATAATAATAATAATAATAATAATAATAATAGTAATAATAATCGAAAAATGGTAATTACATCATATAAATTAAATCCTTCGCATTTTAAAAATTTATATGTTTCTATTATTTTCTTTGTATGATAACAATTTAAAGGAAATTTGTAGTTACTTTATAATAGAGTACAGTTATTCAACTATTACTTTTATTCTATAGACAATTGATTTGGTATTATCACAAAAAAATTAAATTAATAAAATTTTAAACATAAATAGTTAAATTTAGTGAATTATTTTAAATTAAGACCAAATCAATAGAATATATAAATTTTAAGGACTGAAATTGTTACACCTGGTAGAAAAAAATATATTTTAATTTTAACGACAAAATAACCTACATTTAATAATATTTTTAATTAATTGATTAAATTATAACTTTAAAAGATTGAACACATAAATGAGTGACTTAGATTGTATATTTACCATAATTGATATTTTAATAGTATGCACTTTTTTTCCTTTGCTTAAGTTTAGGGAGATTTTTTTAATGAGACACCTATTAATGTTTGTATTACATGTTCTTATTAATAAACATTTTACCTTTAAAAAATTATTCTCTAAACTTTTGAATTATTTTTGTTTTGGTCACTTTAAATTATTTTATTATTATTTTGGTATGATATGATATTTTTTTATTATTATTTAATATAAAAATAACTTAAAATATAAAATAAAAATAGAAAGTGATCGTCCACTGTTCGTCGGGTTCAACGTCACTGTCGACGATCGTAGATGATGGTCGTTTTGTCGTAGATTTCATCGCTTGTTTCGTCTCGACCCCTTAAGTCCGAATTCGATCTTCATTTTGTCAAGACATGCTCCAATCAGATCAAAAATGAGAAATTTGAAACGTCTTAGATAATGGTCGTTTGGGCCTAGATTTCATGGGTCACTTAATCTCGACCCTCATGTGTCCGAATCCAAACTCCATTGTGTCGAAATATTCCCCGAAGTCCACGAATAGGAGATCGAAAATGAAGAAACTGAAATATTTCAGTCGATATTTACAGGTTTTGAGATATTTTCCATTAAAACAACTACCAGGTTCGAACTTGGGGTCGAGACGAAACAACCCATTATTTTCCACTAAAATTGCAGTCATGCTGAAAAAAAATAAGAAAATTTTCACTTCAATGTTACCAACAAACCTGTAGTACACCATTATTTTGTTGCAAAAAAACCTCTTGGACTCACAAAGCCAGCAAAATGCTCATTAACGAAACGTAAACTCCGGTTTTCCGGCAATGTGTCGGATTGATTTGAAACGGTTTACAAAGTTTTGGAGAAAAGTGAGAGATGAAGGATCAAGTCCTATGAAGAAAGGGCTTTTTGGACCTCCGAAGTGACCTCTTTTGCGGGTTTCTCTGCAGGAAGATTGGCTAGAATACCTTTGCTTCCGTAATAATCGATAACCTGCACATTGCCAACCGGTCAGGCTTCGTTTATAAGATCATCATGCGAAATGAAGAAACGGAAAACATGAAATCGAATAAATGGAGCTCGAAGGCCATTTACTAATCAGTCGATGAATTGCGATGACAAGAATTCTAATATGTTACACGAAGGAAACAAGCTTACCGGTTCGGTCTGTCGATGGAAAGCCTCCAGCCTTGACTTGAGAACTGCTGGGGTATCATCTTTTCTTTGAATCAAAGGCTCCCCAGTGACCTTCAGTGAAAACAGTAAGAACAGAACGAGATAAAAGGATGCAAAAATCCAGAGCTCGAGACACTGGCAGTAGAAATACATCACAACGTACGAACCGATACCACGATCGAACATGAAATTTCGAATGTTTACGTTTTAAAGTGAGCAGATCTATGATGATGTTTCTTAGGTCCAGTACAGTAAAGGAACAAGCAGAGCATTGAGAGTGCATCATCATATCTCAAAACAACAACCATACAATCTGCAGAACCATCTTATATATCATATATGCAATGAAAATTCTCGTAATCTTAATCGATATGAACATGATATTGATGAAGGTAAATTGCCTAGCATCAATCTTTATAAATAAGGCATAAACAAGAACTCTAACGATGTCGATGAAAGTCACAGTCCATGTATTCTAATGTGATAGAGTTTGCAGATTCATTCAGTATCAATAACCATTTAACTATAGAAAAAGGAAACATACATCGTCAACACCGGGGACTTTGGGAGGCGCGAATTTCGTGTGGTAGGTTCGGCCACTAGAAGGATTAATCCAACGACCGGTGATCCTCTCCTCCAATACGGCATCATCGATCGCAAAGTTCAACACCTTGTCGATCTTAGTTCCCTGCTTCCGAAGCATCTCATCAAGCTGTATATCAAAAATAACAAAAGATTGTTAAAGATGACAGACCAAAAGAGCAAATCAAAGCCAAATAAACATTACCTTCTGTGCCTGAACCACAGTCCTGGGGAAACCATCCAAGATGAAACCTTTTTGGCATGAGGGTTTCTTCATGGCTTCATCAATAATCCCAACCACCAAATCATCAGAGACAAGTTCACCCTAACATCAAACATTTACAATTACACGGATAATCAACAATCCGAAACTCGAAGCTCGAAATCCTATGGGGGAAAGAAAGGATTTTTACCTTATCCATAGCTTCTTTGGCCTTAACACCTAGAGGTGTCTTGGCAGCAACAGCAGCTCTCAACATATCACCAGTGGCTAAATGGCACAAGCAGTACTCATCCTTAATCATGGGTGATTGTGTACCCTTTCCGGATCCAGGGGGTCCTGCACTTCATTAAAGGGACAACAATCGATATCGGATCGAATCCAAGCCGAAGACTCGATACAAATCCTTTATCACTCTACCAATGATTCAAAGAGATCGTAAAGCATTGTAGTTCTATACAAATTTGTAAACTTCAGAGCCTTACACAAAATTAATTAAAGACAGGCTCCAACTTTGAACAAATTGTGATTAAACCAGATCTAAAGCAAACAAATAAAAGTGTCCAAACTCTAAAATGATCATAAATTGAATGAAACATACTGCAAAATCCAGCTGAATTGTAAACCAAAGACAAAAAGAAAAAAGAAAAGCAAGAAACGAACCGATGAGAACGAGGCGTTTGTCGGGCTTTGAGGAGCACTTGAAACGGCGGAGCAATTCGGTCATGATATCACCGGAAGGAACATCGTCCAAAGCGACAGCAGAACCCGCCATTTTTCTTGCCGGAAATAATATGTAATGAAATCAAACTATAAGAACACCAAAAAACCTAACCGAAAGAGTATATGAAGAGAAGAAAGGAAGGTAGGTGGGAACCGGTAAAGATGTTGTTTTTGGACTTTCAAATGTTCTGATAAAATTTTATCATTAGTCCCTATATTATGCATAACTTTACAAATTTAATCTCTAAAACATGTGCATAGTAAGATCTAATAGAGGATTTTGATCTAACAAATTTAACGATAGTTTGGGTCAGGGATGAAATTTCAAAACTTCAAAATTATAGGGATTTAAAATGATGAAATTGGAGTATTGGAATTAAATACGTTGCTTAGACATATAGGGACTAATAACATAATTTAAACTTTTAAGTTTTGGTAAAAGTTTGACGTTGTACGTGGACGTTGGATCACACACTGACTCTGACTATCTGTCGTTTCTCTTCTCCATCTTTCCCAATGTTTACGTTTTATATGTTGGATAAACTGAGAGTTTAATACTTAAATTATTAATTTTAGTTTATTTTAGTATATAAATTTTAAATTTTTTAAAATTAAACTTAATGTTTAGTTTTTATTTCATTTTAGTATCCGTTAAAAGTTTAACGTTAAATTTTAGGTACTAAATACGTTAAATTTTTAACGACGGGTACTAAAATGAAACAGAAATTAAATTTTAGGTATGAATTTAAAAAAAATTAAAAGTTTAAATACTAAAACATATCAAAATTGATAATTTAAATACTAAGTACGTAGTTTACCCTTATATTTCCCCTTCTTTTTGTCAATGTTATACTCTGCTATGGATCTATACGGGTCGGGCAAATCGGTCAATTAGACTTAGTCCGGTTTAGTAGTGGATTCATCAAAAATTAAAAATTAAAATATATATTATAGCATGAATAAACTTATGTTAATGGTTGAAGGAATTTATGTTGTTTCTCTAGGTCACGGGTTCGAGCACTAACAGCTGCAATAAGGTGATTGAGTGTCCAATATCAATTGGATGAGGGTATTTTACTCTTTTATATATAAAAATAAAAGAGTAAAATACATCATTCTTTACTTAACTTTACTCTTTCTTATTTTACTCATTGTACTTTTAATTTTTTTTCAACTTACTCATTAAACTTTCGAATTGCTCATGTTTTGCTTACTCTGAATTATTTTATTATTTTTTTGATATGATGTGATATTTTTTTATTATTATTTTATACAAAAATAATGTAAAATATAAAATTAAAATAGAAAGTGATCGTCCACCATTCATTGACATTGGACGTCACCATTGACGATCATAGATGGCGACTGTCCTATCCTAGATTTCATTCGTCCATTTGTCTCGAACCCCCAAGGTTGAATTCGACCTCCATTTTATCGAAACATGTTCTGAATTTGGTCAAAAATGAAAAAAAATAGAACACCAACTACCATCGACCGTCGTAAATGGTGGTCGTTTGGTCTCAAATTTCATAGATCGTTTTATCTCGACCATCATGTCCGAATCCAACCTTTATTTTGTCGAAACATGCTCTAAAGTCCACGAATAGGATATCAAAAAAGAGGAAACTGAAATGTTTCATTCGAGTTTTGGGACATTTTCCAGTGAAACAACCAATATATTCAAACTCAGGGCGTCGAGATAAAGCGACCCACAAAATTTAGGACCAAATAATTGTAGGCCATGAAGACCGACAGTGGGTGATGATTATTATTGTAAAGCCCCGATTTTCGGTTAGTAGTTTTGGGTAAAAACCGAGTGAATTAAAATGGGCTAAGAAAGTTATTTAAAAGCTTTAGGCCAATTCATGGCTATTTTGGTTTGGGCTTGAGCCCAACAAGGTTTAAAAAGGGTGTTTTTTATTTGAACACCAAAGGAGAAGGACTAGGAATGCAATTTTCCCTAGCTTGGTCAAAAGGTTGATTTCTTTTAATTTCTGGGTGAAGTCACGACAGATTAAAAAACCAAAATAGGAAGAAGCTCTTCCATTATGTATTCCTTCATCATTGTCTTCTTCCTCCCTTTCAAACTCTCTCATTATTCTCCTTGAGCCCAAGTTAAAGGTGGGGACTTGTTGCTCAATGTCTCCACTCTGAAATTGTGAAGGTAAGATATGAAATCACCTCTCTAAGAGCTTCATTTTGAGCTCTAAACTTTGTAGTTTATCCATGGAAGCTTGAGTGAGAGTTTAGTGGGGTTTTGAGTTCTATATCCCCTTAGGACTCCAAATCCATTTTGGAAGCTTAAAGACCCTATGTACAACCTTCTTAGATCCTTAAATGAGTTTATAACCCACCTCTTTTATGTTTCTAGTGAGAGAAGAAGATGAAAGCTCCAAGGGAAAAGGCAAGGAGAATGAAGTGTTTGGGTGTTTTTACAACTCTTAAGAGTGAGGTAATACATTTCTAACTTTCCCATATTGCTTGTAGATCAAAATGTTAAGCTTTGATGCATGTTGTGTGTTTAAGCCTTTGTTTGCACTTAGATGAGGTTTAAGGCATGAATTTGTTGTGTATTTTAAAGATATGTAGTGATTTTATAACACTCAAACGTTCATCTTGTCCTTAGAAATAATTGTATGGAAGTTGGTAACTCAAATAGGCATGTCCCGACGAACTAGTAATTTTTCCAGAATGATCGATCCCTTACCAAAAAGGATCGATCCCAAACTCTCTGTTGTGCAATGGATCGATCCCTTTTCAAAAGGATCGATCCCTCGAGAGAAATGATCAATCCATTTTCAAAAAGATCAATCTCTCGGGAAAAAAGGATCGATCCCTTCGTTATTTTGTCGATGGGAAAAGATGGAAATTTATTCAGTAGAGGTCTAAAGTATTATGAAATGTTGTTTTGGTTTCAGCATGTTTGAATGAGTTCAGTTTGGTCCATTAATTGAATTACCCAATTACTTAAACCCTAAATCCAAAAACTAATGATAATGATCAAACTCGACTAATTACTTAACAACGTGAGCGTCTACGTGTATAAAATATCTGGATATATCCAATCTAGTGTTTGGGCACTTTAAATGCTAGTTGGATGTTGTGTCGATGCTATGTGACTCAAACACATCCCAAGTACTCTAGAGGAGTATACTAGTCGAGTAAGGGTTGATGCTTCGTGACCCAAACTTAACCTGAGTGTTAAGGAGATACTGTTGCTAGGTGACCCAGGACTTCCTTAAGTGTTGTAAGTAAAGATGGGTGTGAGTTTTGCGATGGTGTGTGACCCTGAACTACACCATGATACTTACTATCTTCTTGAGTGTTGCATTTGCTCATAATTATATTGTATCATGCTTATATATGTTGGGCGCATGTAGTACAACTTGGTTATTTTTTGTGGCATTGAGCTTGTGAACTCATCATATGGAATGAGTTTCAGTGCGCATGTTAGTAGGTACCAACTGAGGAGCTCTTCGACGGACTTGGATTCCAGACTTGACTTCTTCATACTACATTTCGAGAATTTTAGAGGGCATGTACTGTCATAGACCCTTATTTAAATTTTAGTCATAACTCTATATTTCGATTACTAATATTTTTGGAGACTTATGTCGAGAGCTCACCCGTATTAAACACTTATATTTCGTATTTGTCTGGTAACTAAATTTTATGGATGGTAGCTTCATGAAACGTTTTAAAAAAATGGTTAGCTACTCTTGTGGTTCTGTGTGATATCGTAATTCAATGACCTTCGGGTCGAATTGGATTAAGATGTTACAATTATAAATCTTTTTAAATTTAAAAATAACAAAATATTATTTTATTATTTATTTTAAATTATTTTTATATTTTAATATTGAAAAATGACATGTTATACCAAAATAATAATAATAATAAAATAATTTAGAGTAACCTAAACATGAACAATAAGAAAGTTCAGTGAATAAATTGAAAACAATTTGAAAGTATAATAAGTAAAATAAGAGAGAAAATAACATTCAGTGAGGAATTGTATAGTTTACTCATTAGAAAACTTTATAACCTAAAATCCAAAAAAAATTCCATTCAAATTTTTTTATTAATATTAGAAGCAATTATAATTATTATAGTCACTATTTTAATATTATTTTTTGTCTTAAGAAATATTTTCTTTAAATATATATACAAATATTTTCCCACTAAATTAAATTTGGCAACTTTCACATAGATACATTTTTCATATATACATTTAAATTTCACTATCATTATTTTTAAAAACAATTATACTATCATTATAGAAGTTTAACTCTCATATTTAAAACATTTCCCATAGGTACATATAAATTAAATCCTTCGCATTTTAAAAATTTATATGTTCCTATTATTTTCTTTGTATGATAAACCTAATTTGTAGTTACTTTATAATAGAGTATAATTATTAGACACATTTGGTTTGATATTATCATAAAAAAAATTAAATCAATAAAATTTTAAATATAAATAATTAAATTCAATTTATTTTAATTAATCAATAGAATATATTTTTTTAAATTAATCAATAGAATATATAAATTTTAATTACTGAAATTATTATGATAAAACAAAAATCTAATTTAATTTTCACGGTAAAGTAACATACCTGCAGGGGCGGAGTTTAGTAAGGGCCCAAAGGAGATCGATCCCTGTTAAAATTTATATATTTGATATAATTTTGTTCTAATAGTATTTTGGTTAATGTAAAAATAAATATTTAAATTAAAAAATATAAGAATTTATTGAATATTTAATTAAGTAAGGACCGAACTAAAGAAGGATAATCCTATGTTCTCAAAAATTTTGGTCTAATAACAATTTAGGTCATTGTAAGTTTAAATATTAGACAAATTAGGTGTTATCTTGTGAATTTTGAGTTTTTTTTTTTATATAAATTTAGGGTGAGTACAAGGTAATATATGTACAAAGACTCTCAACTATTTAACAATGAAAGTTCAACCCCTACATGTGCAGTGAGACCTCAATGATAACAACAATCCTTTAATCACTGAAGTCGTTCGGTTCGTGCATAATTTTAAGTTTGAATACTTAATAAGTCTATATTTTTTTAAAATAGTCCAATATTTTGGCCCTATCAATATTTAGTTCTAGCTTCGTCACTGCCTACCTGTAACAATATTTTAATTAATAAACTAAATTATAACTTTAAAAGATTGAACAGATAAATGAGTGACTTAGAGACCTTAATTGATATTACTGTTCCTCATAAACACTACATGCTGGGTATAATCCACATTCCATCACCTTCTGAGCATATATATACGTCTTTTCTCATCTAAAAAAACCGTAATGCATATTTTCACACAAATAACTCATAGCTTCATGAGATAATCTGGAAAGGAAGCACATAAACCAATGTCTTAACCTAACCATTTATGATCTCTCACAATTATAATATTAATTGGAAGATGACTTAAATGTCTGAATTACCCTTGGGCTATTGGGTTTTTGTTGGGCATTTTTATTATCTTTGTATCAACGGGTCCGGATTAGCCTGTTTTAAGAATGAAACCGACTCAAGCAGCTAACGGTCATCTTAAGCATGTTTACTTCTTTGCCCCTTTGCCGCCTTTCTCTGCCCGCCCTTGAATGAAATGAACTCCTACTAGAATTAGTAAGCCTCTGCTCGACGTTCATAATTCAAAACAAAAGTACTCTTCTCTCAAGAAACAAAATACTTTTAACTCAAGAAAGTTTTTTTCTATTTATACCCATACTCCATTGGAAGAACGAAACAAAATCTTAATTTGTTCTAGCTACTGAGTTGTAATTTACAAGAAAAGAATTTGTTGCAATTACACAGAAAAGAAGTATGGTTGAACTCCTGAGTCGTAATGATTTTAAGCACATTGATCCCAATGGAGATCCTTTCGAATGGTTGCTTCAAATAGCCAAATTTGAGGGAGAGAAACTGCAGGAAAACCATGATCATGGCCGTTCCAATGGTTTCGAATACAATGCACAGCTACCTGAGTTTCTTTGCAAGAAAGAAAGCATGGGGTTCGAAAAAAATGGTGGGAAGAAATCAAAACGCAAGTTGAAAGAAGAAGATGGTGATGGAGATTGGGGAAGTGGACTGAAACCCAAGTTGAAGAGACCCAAGAAACAGAAACCCCAATCCTCAATCCCAACACCCGACATGCCGGACACATTCAAACGGCACATACTTGAAGATGGTGGTCGAGAACGAGGAAGTGAACTGAAATCCAAGTTGAAGAGAAGCAAGAAACAGAAACCCTCTTCTCCAATCCCAACACCCGACGTGCCGGACAGATTCAAACGGTACATACTTGAAGACATGGGTGGTTCTGGTTTGGTTCTAGTCATTCAAAAGACCCTCTTTTTCTCCGACGTTAATCATACCGCCAGCCGTTTCTCCGTACCCTTCTCGCAAGTCAAAAGCCACGACTTTCTGACGAAAACAGAGGCTGATGACTTGGCTCACAAGAAACCGATGCAAGTGTGCTTCTTGGATCCATCGATGGAGAAAACTACCATGACTTTTAACAGGTGGAATATGAGGAAAAACTCACTCTACGTGATGATCGAATCGTGGAACTCGGTAGTGGAGAGCAACAAACTCAAGAAGGGCGAGATTGTGCAACTCTGGTCTTTCCGGGTGAATTCAGAGCTATGCTTCGCATTAGTCAGAATCTAAGATCCAACACCAAGGTTAACAAGTATATGTGTAGGCTTCTGTTACTTTTTCTTTCTAAAATCAAGAATGTTTGGTTATTTTAGCCATTGTAGTTATCAGATGTCTACTGCCAAATTAAATGGAGGACTACTGCCTTGCATCAATCCGAATAATAAGCCTTAAGAAAGTGTTATACTAAAGAGAATGAAAGTTATATTTTTTTCTTCTAATCAATTTGCAAAAACATACAATATAGCATAAGGACGTGTATGAATGTGACAGTTAGCTGAACAATGAGTCCATGTGTGTAGTATAATGGAGCTTGCAGCTTCACTCGATACCCATAATCATTTAAAAATAGATCAATTCCAAGGTTAGCATTCGTGTTCGTACACTAAGAATAATACATTCTTACACAACACAGTTTTAGTCCTATAATGAGCAATTGCAACATGACTAGATTTCGTGCTGTTCACGGTAAAATTGCAGTTCCCTTGTCCGTGAGCAGAAGGTCGAGAAAAGGATTGTCGAAGATCCCTTCCGACCAGCGCTTTAACGCATTTATCTCGAAAACTTTGCATACTCTCGGTTGCTCGACATCAATAGTTTCGGCTGTGAACCTTACCGCATTTGATGTATCCCAATGCTCATATGAACTGTTTGCCCTTTGGAAAAAAAAGTTGACCACGAACACCTTTGGTACTGCTTGCCGCTTGTTTTTGTAACGGAGATCGCCGTTCTGAACTCTGGTGTTAAAAAGGTTTTTACGTCGGAAACACGGGTTCCGGAATCTTTTGAAGGGAATGCTATAGAGTGGGGTGTGCTGAATGAAGCACGGCTGCTATTGAGCAGAAGAGAAGTACTACAAGTAGTGAGGTTGACTCGGTAGGATTCGATATACATTCGAAGGAGCAGTTTGATCGGCTTGGCGCCTGATGAAGCCCTGTCATTAGAAACGAACGCCGCTAATTACCTTTGTTTTAGTGACGTTTGTTTACATAAATGCCGCTACATATTATGATATATAACAACGTTTGTAGACAAAAATGCCACAAATTTTTATGTCATTAGTGGTGTTTTTTTTAAAAAAAAACACCACAAAAGAGTTGTGTTCTAGTAGCATTTGTTTACAAATACAGCTATGATTAATTAACAACAAGCTTAAAATTTAATTATAACACAAATTATGTAGAAAAATACTTAACAACAAAATAAATTAAAATTTATAAATATTAAAATTAAATGTAATGTAGTTTAAGATTGTTCAATAGAATTTAGTCTAGTTTCTTTCTCTTTCAGTTAAAAAAAATTGTTCACTAAAATAAATAAATAAAAACATTCTTCAAGTAACAATTTTAAACATTAATCTGCAACTTCAATTGATTAATACTCCATCTGATTTCGAGTATTCAATTGGGGAATATAAATTAGCAAAATCACATCAACAATTTATACCAAATAGAGAAGTTAATCATAATTTCCCTTCTTTTCATCTTTCGTCCTCTCTCATTTGATATTGACAGAGAAAGAAAGATAATCGATGGCATTACAAATAAATATCTAAATCCAAGCAAAGGATCGATATGCATTCGATTAAATACCAATATGAATAACAAAACACTTTCACGTGGAGAGACATGTTTAAATTCATCATTCTAATATTCACAATCCTTTTTATGATATTGTATCTAACGAGACGACACTTTGTTTCGAGAGAAACAACATCAAAGGATATTGATAGTCTGTTTGTTCCTGTCGGTGGAGGAAATGCCTTCAAAAGAACTGGACAAAAACAGGTGTCTACAGATACGTTACAGTGAAATATTCGTATAATATTGAAGTATCCAAGGATGGAATTTCAACAAACAAAAACAATATGACAAATTCAGTAGAAGGAAATTTCACTCAGAAGAAGGCCAGCTTTGGTTATGAGGGATATATTCTCATCTTTCACCCGTCCCCTTGGTGACGAGAGTGCATACTGTAACAATATGACAGATTTAGCGGTGAGACGAAGAGGGTATTTAATGGTTGGTGAAATGTCACGTGACAAGAGATTAAAAAAGAGTAAATTACGCATTTAGTGCTTAAATTATCAGTTTTAGTTAAAACTTAAACTTTTAATTTTTTCAAAACTATACCTAATTTTTAGTTTTCATTTCATTTTAGTACCCTCTGTTAAAACTTAATGCATTTAGGACCTAAACTATCAGTTTCGGTCCGTTTCAATACCTAAACTTTTAATTTTTTTAAAAATTTAATGTTAAATTTTGAATGGATACTAAAATGAAACAAAAACTAAAGTTTTTAAGTTGAGTTACTAAAATGAAACAAAAATTTAAACTCTAGGTATGATTTTAAACAATTTGAAAGTTTACGTACCAAAATGAAACAAGACTGATAATTTAGATACTAAACATATAATTTATCTTTTAATATATTTTTAGATTAAATTATCTATTTAATCAATCGTTCGCTCTCTTATTTCTGTTTTGGTAATCAGATTTAACTTTGGACTTTAGGGATGGGTATGAGTCGGGTTTGGGTCAAGTTTTCGGCTAACCCGACCCGACCCAACAATTTTACTTCCTTCATTCGACTCGACCTTACCTGAAAATTATATACTTTTCACCCGATATGAATCCGACCCGATTTTTTTAGATAAATCAATCATTGCAGTGATAAGATTCCATAGCTGATTGATATATAGTTGAAGTTTCTCTATTAGTAGTTGCATTGAAAAAGAAGGCTTCTAAGGTTCTTAATCTGAATAGTTGAAAGTCACGAAAAACAGTTCTACCAAAGAATGATTGTTGACATAATTTTATAAAATATTTTTACAGACTTTTCTATTAAATATAAATTTTAAATTCAACGGATTTTGATATGACCTTATAAGATTAGATTTTTTCTCTAAAAATTAGGTTCGAGATAGACTGAGTTTTGGGACAGCGATAATCGAGTTATGGGGAACACCGGTAGGGCAACCTCTCTCGAACTCATACGATTGAATACATGATGTTGTTTAATAAAAAAAAGTTAAATAAATTCTCAAAAATTGACCACCATTTGTAAACCTTGCTACAAATACACTGTTTTCAACCCAAAAGCATATGTACAATCAAGATGCATATGGTACCGGAGTGAATAACCTAAGAAAACGCTACACAACATGATATTCACAGCAAGAACTATAGGGTTCATGTTTAGTAGGTGATAATCCAAACAACTTAATCCAAGGCAACTTCGTTCTAGACCTCCGAGAGCACTGCACTCGCGCAAGCAAGATGCGCCAGCTTTCAGCTCACGCCTCGATATATAGTATTGGTTTGAAGGTCATCCATGTTGTCGATGTTTCTGTATCCGTCAATCTCCCTGAGACTCGTGAAGCTGCGACGGACCAGATATTCACGGTAATCATCTTCTGTGTAAAACGTCTTTTCCTCCGTGTGGACTGGTATATGATCTGACTCATCGTAGAGGCACACTTTTACAGCCAAACCTGATTGAAGGTATTTGGAAGAAAAAAAAGGTCACCCTGTTATTCTGTTCTTAATGTCTCTTTCATATCAATTGACAACAGACCAGAGGGTGGCTAACTTAGGGCACTCGCATCATCGCATCTTGTGAGGGTTAGACATCCATAAGTTTTACCTTACGTCCTTACTCATGCTTAGTGGATGATTGAAGATTAATACACTCTCCGTAACGGTATCTTTCATCTACTATACTTTTTATGGAACAGCTTACTACAGATTTTTCATGGTCAGAATTTGTCGAGAAGCATGCATGTCGATCTTACCTTCATCAAGATGGAGTGTATAATTTCGTAGAGGCATTTCCCTGTCGAGACTACGAACGACATGGTCTTCATCCTCCAACCAAAATGCACGTTTAGTTCTCAATCTAAAAGCAGATTTAATTGCATCTCTGATGGCTTCAGTGGTACCATCAATACCGATCCTTCGGGTGTAGTCGCCATATTTGACAGTTATAACTCTGCCTCCATATGGCTGACAATCCCCAACTACGAAAGAGGGCGTGAAAGATAAGTAGACATAAATATTACAATCAGAATTAAACTTTTCAGTCAAGACAAGATGGGAGAACCACTTCTCATAATCAAACACTAGAGCACTCGAACATTGTTCTACATGCAAAGCGATCATTTTTTTGGGTAAAATCGGTTCATAAAAAACTCTTAACAGAACCTTACCATTTCCAGGGGTCTCTCTCCAATTCCAAGGAGGAACTCCACTGGCTGCAACTGCATCAGCTGCGGTGATAGCTAGAGGATGCCCTTCATGATCTAAACCTCTTTCAAGATTAAGAGTCGGCCTACCACTAGCTGTTTACCAAATAGCATAAAAAGGAGGAGATGCATAACTTTTTTAAAGTTGAGAAAAAGGCAGCATGGAAATGAAGCGTCTATCCTGAATAAATGCAAGACACACATCACTAGAAAGTGGTTCACTTCAAATCAGGCAGAAATTCTACAACTTAAATGCCGATTCAGTGTGGAAGCACATGAAAACGCACAATTGGTTTTCTTTCCATTGTTTAATTCCCCATTCTAAATATTCCCAATAAATAATAATTCCATTGAGATTGAAAATTAATAGAAGGCGTAAGATTGCAGGCTTATGAACTACAATGATGGATGCACATGCTGTTGAAGTTAAACTGCATCCACTTGTTCAAACGGAAAGTTAAGTGATATATGATGGAATATACTATCGACTCTCTAGAAGTACCAATTGGCGTGTTAGAGATGTTCCATCTGATATAATTTGAACGCTCAACGAAATAAGGATAGTATTATAATAAGAAAGTGACTACCAAAAGGTTTCTATCAGTACATGCCAGTGAGGATAACAAGTATCTATCGGTACATGCTGTTTCACTCTCATATGAACTTATCCTGGGTGGGAGCAGGTGTTATGTAGGGCTCACAGCAAGGCTGATGACACTGTTATCGCAATTAAAAGGTCAAAATTAACAGCAAGTTGAGAATGAGGGTAGAGAAACAAGCAAATCTGTCCACGGATCTTGGCTAAGGATGCTGAAAAGAGAGGTTACCGTATAAAGAAAAAGTTGCAATTCAGTTTAAGTTCCAAAAAGTAAATCCAATTTAACCAATGAACAAAGAGAGGGTGATAAAACCTAAAGGTTCCATGAGAGAAATACAGTTGATGAGATTAATAACATTGCATCCAATAAATTCTATGATTTGCCCATATCAATTTGAGGGATAATATTACAGCAAGCTTATAAAGGAATGAAACAGAGATCAAGTTAAAACAGAAGATAAGCAAGCTCAAATAACAACAGCAACAGCATACCTTCAAGAGGACCAAATGTTATGCCGGTATCCTCAAAACCTGCAAGAGTCCAACCATAACGATGGCAGTTATTAAGGTCGCGATAATAGAAAGAAAGACTTAGTATATGCAGCAATAACCCATCAGGAGAGAAAAAAGGAAGAGAGTAAAAGAGATGGTCATTTAAATATACAAAAGCAAGAGAGAAAAAAACTTATACGCCGCTTTCAAGAAATGATGCAACAGCATGGTATCATGTCTTAAGTAAATACGCCCCATGTAAACCTTGTAAAAGTAGAATGGATGCATTGGAAATTTGATAAAACCAAATAAGAAACAGAGGAATCAATAGACCACATATAGATAATCATCTCTCCCAATATTTAAAGAAACGAGAGAAGCCTGCTGCCTTTATCTTCAAGTTTGCTTCGCATAAAATTCATCATGTTCGGGCGTAGCTTGGCTCATGCTTCAAGCACCTTGAACCCCATATCATATTTTGAATTAACCCCTTTGTTCCTCTAGGCATGACGACTTGAATCAGAAGTAGATACAATAAATGTTAAATATGTTCCTATCTCAAAATTATTTGCAACCAAAGAAACCCCGGCAGTAAAAGAACAAAGTTAATTTCTTTTCTCAACTACAATTCATAATGCCATCTTAAGCCACTTTTACAAAGTAACTTAACAACAAATTCAATTTGGAAAATTACAGGCTTTAGTCCCAAAATAATAAGAAGAAGAAGAAGAAGAAAAGATGAAAATCTAAAGCTAAACATCAGAGCTTACGATGTAAATTCATTACCCATATCACTCAAAAACATATTTTTTTAATCCCAAATAAATGCTTTAAATAGAAAGCCACATCAAACCATAGTAACACCAAACAGCAATGAAATGAATGTTTAAGTTTTTAAATGAAAAAAATAGAGAGCTAAAATCTAGAATTTAGAACATACCCTTATCAGAGAAATGCATGAAGGAATCAAGCTTAGGAGGAGAAGGAGGAGTTGGAGTCTTATAAGCACTCTTCGTCCTCTCCCTTAAAATCTCTTCAATTTCCTTATAATAAGACATCTTAGCTGACCCACTCCCCCTATCTTGATGCTTAGCTTTCTTGAACTCCTTCAACAAGTTCCTCCACTTGTCCGTGCACATAGTCGGGGATCGATCGAACCCTTTGTCCCTCATCTTAGCCGATATCTGCTCCCAGAGGTGCTTGTTCGATTTGGAAGTATTGAAACGGCCGTCCATTTCTCCTCGTAAACCGATGAGGCTTCGGGTTTCGTCTTGGACCCAGGTCTCGGCTCGTTTCTTGGGGGCTTTGATTTCCGGGTCATCGCCGCTGCTTTCACCCAACATCATTTGCTGCTGCTGTTGCTGGAGAGGCTGAGGTTGTTGTTGCTGTTGGTGGTGGAGGTGACGTGGTAAATCCCCATTGGTGGGGACCTCGATGATCATGTCACGAGCCATGGAAGGACCTTCCTCCTTGTATAAATCGATTGGACGAGGCTTCTCCGATAAGTACATGGCAGCTTTGGATCTGAATAGGGAAATGGGTTTCTCTTTTTTTGCTTGTTTTTTAGGGGATTTAAGGCTTTTTAGGAGTTGAAAGAGTGAGGGTTTTGACAAGGGGGAGAAGAAAAACCATGGATTGGATCTAACTTTGATAATGAAATTATCCTTTTTTCTTCCCTTTTTCAGGGTTTTAGTGGATAAAGATTGAAGATGCAGCAGCAGTGAGCGTTGAGTAAAAAAGGCTTAAGGGGTATTTTGCCTTATTTTCTGTCCTTTGAGGCCTTCTGCCGTTGCGTTACCTCTTGGCCTTTAACTCCATCCAAATTAATAATGTTAATTTAATCATTTTAAGTATAACAAAAAGATAAACTATGCATTTAGCTACTTATTTTATTATATTTCTATTTTAGTCACTTAATACTTTTCATTTAATTTTTATTGTATTTCTATTTTAATCACCCAATATTGAAAATTTCTTATTCTATCACCTAATTTCATTTGGGTAGGGTACTATTATGTTTATTATAAATGTAACTTTTCTAACTTATTTTATTTATAACATATAAATTTAAGGGTAAAGTATATAAGTGATTAAATGGTTCTCGATTATAAGATACTACTTTATGAGGTCTTTTTATTATTAAAAGTTATAAAATGGTCATCTAACTATAGAATATTTATTTGTTGAGTCACTCGACTATTAAAAATACAAAATGGTCATTCAACTATTCATTATGTTCCAAACTCGTCCTTTCGCTAAAAAATTAAAGGTATTATGGGTTAAACGTTAATCTGCTAACTGTAATATGATAAAATCTAATCTCAAACGACTATCATATCCCAATCATCATATTGATGTCTAGCTTAGATAATCATCAATTTTTTTTAAAGAAAATGACGAATTTAGAACATAATGAATAGTCAGTGACCAATTTGTAACTTTTAATAGATGATGGACTTAACAAAGTAACATTCTATAATAAAATGATTATTTTATAACTTTTAATAGTGAATGGACTTAATAAAGTAATGACCTATAGTTAGGAGATCATTTGTGTACTTTACCCTAATAAATTTAAACTCTTTACTAAAATTTATTGAACGACCTCAATGATAAAAGAAATTGTTATTCTCCTTAAATATTCTCAACTAGAATAACTACGTCTATAAGATATATTTTGCATTATCAATGAATAAAAAAATTATAAACAAATATTAATTTATACATACCATAAAATATAACTCTTAGGGTGCGTTTGGTTCACGAAATGTAAGATTACCAGTGAGAATGTAAGATTACCAGGGAATATGATTACTGAGAATGTTGTATTTTATGTTTGGTTGGTTTAGCAGAAATGTAAGATTACTGTGTTTGGTTAAAGAAATAAAATATTATTGGAATGCATATTTGACCAAATTATCCTTATTATATATTTGTTTTTTTAACAAGTTGAAAACAATTTATATATTTTCTTAAAAAAAATTTAAATTCATAATATATATATATATATATATATATATTTACAAAATTGAAAATATAAAAAGGTTTAATCTAAGGGTAAAATTTTATTTTAACCCCTAAACTTCATATAAAATTTTAATTATAGATTTTTTTTATAAATCTAAATGGTTTAAGGATAAATTTGTAATTTAACATTTGTAAAATTTTTATTATTCAATGATAGAATAAATATATTTTTGGGAAAAAAAGATTTAAGGGCATTTTAGTCTTAAACGTCGGTAATCTAACAATACCTAATGAAAGGGAGATAATGACATTCCCGGCAATATACAAAAAAAATCCACTATTGGTAATGTAAGATTACCGGGAATGACATTCCCGGCCAACCAAACGAGGGAATGTGGATTTCATTCCCATTGGAATCTCACATTCCACCAACCAAACACACCATTAAGTAATACCTTATTCTAGGATGGCGGAATGACTCGAACCCGACGGGGAAACCCGAAACCCCGGTCAAGTTCTGGTCGGGTCGGGTTTGAATGATATCGGGTCGAGTATCGGGGATGGGGCAAGGTATCCCCACTCCGCCCCGCTCCGATTATATATATATATATAATATTTTTTATTTTTTATATTAATTATATATATAATATTTTCGGGTTCAGATTTAAGTATAATATTTCGGGTCGAGTTTGGAGACGGAGAAAAAATCCTCGACGGGTGCCCTGATAAAAAATTCGACAGAAATCAAGTCAAGATCAAGGATGAGGATTCATTTCTAATTCGAGAATGGAGCGAGCAAAACCCGCCCCGAACTCCACTCTTTGCCATTCCTACCTTATTCCATATGTTAAGTAAATTCCGATATTCATATGCAACGACGTCGTTGCATAGGGAACTCGTTAACAACGGCGCGTTCAAGACTTCAGGTACCAATTCGTTTTGCTTTTCGTTTTTGGAGCCAAACCCTAAAATACCAGATAAAAATATCCATCAATTTATTCACCATTATTATTTTTAAAAACGATGGTTATAATCCAATTATGTTCGTCGAGCTTATTCAAGTCCCGTATTTGAAATCCTGAAATTCCAATTCCCATTCTTTCAGCTCCCATTTCAGCTTTATTTTAGCTACTCGAGGTCTCTTTCAGGTGTATAATCAAACACCTGTTGGGCATTGTATTTACTTATCTATTTTTAAATTTAAAAGTCGTGGTTTTGCTCGGTTCTATACGAGTTTTGCGGTACAGGTGGTATTGCTAATTTTCATGGGCTGATTGAAATTCCCGGATTTGATTTGATTTGATTTTGCTTGTAGTCTGGATAATGTTCATTTTGCTCCCTGATCTTTTAAAGAAAATTAGGTCATTTACTTTTACATGTAAGATTCTCTATTTGCAATTATGATCTAACATTGCCACTTTCTGTACGCAATTGTTTTTAGGGACTGATTTGTTAGAGAAAGAAACAATTTGCTTTATAGTAGTTTTTATCATATTTGAAGCTTAATGTTTGATGTTTATGGCTAATTGAAAGTTTTGGGTTATTTTTCTTCTTTTTCCAGTTACGTATCATGTATGCTTAAATGTCAGGGATATCCAAATTTGCATTAACACATTTTAAGATATATTGTGTGTTGATGGCAGTTTGGAAGAATAAACATCGGTTTGAATTATGTTACAAGTGTTTATCGAGCCATGGATTTGTAGCCAGACTAATCTTTACCATTTTAGAATATGTTTTTTGTATGATGAACAGAACTCGATGTCGGCACACCGTCTAATTATTTTCAGTCATTTAGTCCTGAAACTGAACTCTGTCTAAAATTTGCATTATTTTTCATTTGATTCTGTTTCAGAACAAAGCAGCTGTCGACAGTTTAAGTTCCTTCACTATGAGCAATTGCAACATGACTAGATTTTGTGCCGTTCACCGTAAAGCCGTGGCTCCCTTGTCCATGAGCAGAAGATGTAGAAATGGGTGTCAAAGAACCCTTCCCGCCAACACTTTAACGCGTTTCTCCCAGAACACTAAAAGTATTGTCCGTGCCCCGAGATCGATAGTGTTAGCCGTGAATCTCACCCCGTTTGATGCACCTCAACGCTCAGATGAATGGTTTGCCCTTCGGAGGAACAGGTTGACCACAAGCACCTTCAGTACTGCTTTGGGGTTTTGGAAAGGAAAGCGCCGCTCCGAGCTCTGGCATGAAAAAGTTTTTGAATCGGAAATGCAGGTCGTGGAATCTTCTAAAAAGTGTGCTATGGAGTGGGGTGTTCTCAATGAAGCCGCTGCTATTGAGCGATACAGAAGTATTACAGGTCGTGAAGTAAGCTCTTTAGGCTTTGCTATCCATTCTAAGGAGCAGTTGGACTGGCTTGGTGCATCACCCGACGGTCTTCTCGGTTGCTTTCCAGGAGGTGGCATCCTGGAAGTGAAGTGTCCATACAACAAAGGCAAACCCGAGACTGCTCTGCCGTGGTCAACCATGCCATTCTATTACATGCCTCAGGTTCAGGGTCAGATGGAGATAATGGACCGAGAATGGGTCGATTTATATTGCTGGACACAAAACGGAAGCACGATATTCCGCGTGTGTAGAGAACGCAGTTACTGGGATCTTATACACGGCATTTTACGGGAATTTTGGTGGGGGAACGTAATGCCCGCTAGGGAAGCCGTATCGTCGGGCAAGGAAGAGGATGCTAAGACATATGAACCTGCATCCACACACAAGAGAACCGGGCTTGCAATTTCGAAGAGCATAAAGTTAGCTAGTGAAGCAAAGATGTTTTGTAGGGAGATTGCAGGTCATATTGAATTTTATAGATGATTAGCCACTGCACTTTTCTTATTCATAATTGCCATTGATTTTTAACCATGTACAGTGGCCATTGTATTTTTATAATTCCACTGACCATCTGTCAAGAACAATGAACGTATTAAATGTGAAATCCAATCCCAAAATTATTATTTTTCTACCATCCCAAGATTCTTCTTTCTCTAACATTCTTGGTCCATCCCTAAATTTTAAGGGTAAACTACACATTTAGTTATTGAACTTTACTCTTTCTCCTATTTTACTCAATATACTTTTATTTTTTTAATTTAATCACTGAATTTTATATATTAGAATTTTTTTGTTACTCCACCGTTTAGGAATAAATGGAGCCGTTGGTCAATGATAGAAAACGTTAATCAATGGTCATATTGAGTTTTTTTTTAGATTAAGGGTCGTATTGAGAAAAATAGTACAAATCTCATATTATTTTAAAAAAAGTACAAGGGCTTTGCGTACCATTTACCTATATTTAAATATAAATATATAGAGAAAGAGATATTATTGTAATTTTATATAATATAAAAGGAATAATTGTACAATTATTTTAAATTGAGTTGGGTCAAAGATTTTTCGCCTTAAGCGCGAATCTAATCTAATCTAATATTATTCTCCGAACTTTTTTTTACTCAATTAACTCTAATTAAAAATTTTAAAAGTAAATTTGATCTTAAAATATCACGTTGAAACTTATTAAATTCGAATCTCATATACCTCTAAAAAAATCCTACTTTTTTGATTGGTTTTATTCTATATAAAATTACAATACAAAAATATGTAACTATGAATTTGAATAAAGACATACAAATTATATAAGATGGAATTTAATCTATTCTATGACAAAATCTAAGGGACGGCCTTTCTTCGTGAAATGTAACGATTGCAAGGGATAGCTCCCATGGCTACACGCATCCGTTTTTCTTTTGAATTAAAATTGAAGCAAAAATCACTCCTACATTGCGCGGCTTCAATGAAAAGTCGAATCTCATTTTGTTTGTTTGTTTGTTTTTATTTTCCATTACTCCCTTCACCGAATTAAATTAAAATTAGATTCAACATTTGTTTTTCCGCTCCAAAAGGCGGAGATTTCCCTCCCGATCTACCCTCAATCAGTCCTCGGTCCTTGTTTGGCTCCAAGGAAAATTTAATTAAGGAAGCGAAGGCGAAAGAGAAAAATAGCAAATGGAAAGTGGAGGAAACAGCGAGAAGAAATTGAGCAGCAAACCGAAGGTAGGAAGTTACATCGTACCACACCGGAGCTGCTGCTCTTCTTACTCTCGCTGCCAGCCTCGCTATCACCGCATTAACCACCGAAGAAACTCCAAGAGAAAAGGCAACTACATTTGTTTTTCTCTATTTCAGTAGATTTTTTTTACTGCATTTCGTTTTACTTGCTTGCTAGTTTCCACTCGTTTATATCTAGTGATTTAATAACTTTTTCATTTTTTTTTTGAAATTTTAGATCTTCCGGGATGTGATTTTCGAGTTAACGTATCGGCGAGTGAGATTCTGAAGTTAGCTGACCGAATAATTGCAAAATCAAAGGAAGTTCATGATGCTGTTGCATCTGTACCGCTCGATAAGGTTTTATAATCTCAGGACCTTTTTGTTTTATTTTTATTTTTCTCTCTGGGTTTCTTTTTGCCTATTTCTACATTTGAAAGACTTTGAAACTCATATTCCTTTATATATATGTATATTAAAAATTCTCAGGTTACCTATAAGAATGTTATATCACCATTGGCAGAACTGGAGGCTCAGCAATTTCCATTGATGCAATCATGTGTGGTGCCAAAGTTTGTTCCAACTTCAGATAAAGTGCGTAAAGCAAGCATTGAAGCTGAAAAGAAAATAGATGCTCATGTCTCTTCCTGCAGGTTTAATTCATTTGTTTTTATTTAATTATATAGGAATTAAGATATATCACTTGCATTTTTAGTTTGTTTCATTTAGTTGGAAAAAGTTTTTAATCTAAACTATTTATCTAACTTTAACCTTATGATTTTGTAAGTAGTTGTAGATATGTAAATCTACTTTCCTATTTGTATAATTTACTATTTTTAATGTTTTTATTGGGTTCTAATCAGTAAGCGGGAAGATGTATACCATGTTGTTAAAGCTTTTGCTGCGAAAGGGGAATGGATGGGCCCAGAAGCCAGACACTATGTTCAGTGCTTGGTAAGGGAAATATTTACAGTTTTATACCGAAAGAATTCTGTGATGGGGTTGTATGTCTTGATGTGCTGTGGTACAATAAACTATTTTTTGTTGTTTTTTTCAATATTCTTAACATATTGCTTAGTGGTTTGGTTGTTTGGTTCTAGTATTGATTTCTTACTGACCAGTGACAGATAAGAGACTTTGAACGGAATGGATTGGATCTTACAGCAACAAAAAGAGAAGAAGTGCAACGCCTGAGAGCTCAAATTGATGAGCTAAGTTTCAATATGTTCAGAATTTGAATTATGATGCCACTTATCTTTTATTCAGTGAGAATGAGCTAGCTGGACTACCGACAGAGTTCCTCAAGGTTCTAACTTTTTTCTTATTTGCTCCTCTGTTCTGTTGCTTTATTAGCTTATAGTTGGGAATTCTGACTCAATAATCTATTTTTAACAAAAGCTTCAAAATTCACGTTAATTTTTGCATCTGATTCGTGCTTGTTCGCTGGTGAAAAACTTTCCTATGCTGATAATTTAATACATAAATTATCCATACCGTGCTTTATTTGAACTTTTAACATTCTGGATGAGGCGTGTTGGTCAGTTATTTTATGTTATAGAATGTGAAATATTGATTTCATATCAAGAATAAATTCTATTTTGAGCTTTAAACCATTGGTTTGTGGAACTAAGAAAATGCCTCTACAATCGAGATTTCAACTATCAATTAAGTTAAAATTACATGATATAATGTATTGATATGAATCATGATCCAAAGAGAAAACTTTCCATTCTGGAAGTGCTATTCATAACTTTGCTGCTATTCTTACATGGAAATATAATTACGAATACAAAGTTTATCTTGGAAATATATGTCCTTGGATTTGTGTGTGATTGTTGGAAATATGTGTGTCTGATACAAGTACATTCGATTTTCCTGGTTTTTTCATGTATGTAGATGGTCTTTGTCATATTTGATATATCTGTACCCGTGTTCAGATATGTACTTGACATGGGTGATTAAATGGGTACTTCAATATGAAGAGTTGGAGTAACATAGCTAGAAATTCATCCTTAATGATGGACTTTTCTTTGAATAACTTTGCTTTGTAATGAACAATAATGAGATGTGTTCCACTCTGCTTATTTTGCAGACATTAGAAGAAGTGGAAAATGGCTTTTAATGATATCTGGTGATTCAACTATAGCATGCGAAAAAAATCTGGCAAGTTTTCAAATAGGTATGATATGATTTGCTGCTATGAATCTACATCAAACACATTGCCTTGCATGTGAATGATCATGACAGCTGCTCAATTAAGATAACTTAATTTGTTTTTCTTTTTTTTCTTTAGATAGGAACCTAATTCTGATTTGCTATTATTATTTTCTTTTTTATCCTGAAATATGGGAATGACCATTGTGGTGTTTCACTTTTTTTGTTCCGAGCCTTTGCAGATAGGAAAGACAAGAAGGTTAGTAGCTATGACCTATGGAAAGAGTGTGCAAAAGTCAATCTCTCTGTCTTGGAAGAATGGTAAATAACGCCCCCCTGGGCTCCTCCCATTTTCTTTGTAATGAGTTTACATAGGAAAGAGAACTCAGCATCTAGAAGATTTTAAGCTTGAAATGAAATATATTGTAAGATCAACTGATTGTCATGGATTCCTGTAATTTAGATTTTTGTTAGAAAAACCATGCATACCCTGTTGGTATCACATTTCATAAAAAAAAATTATTCCTATAAAAAAAAATATTATGTCTGTTCTAGTGACAAAATCTTCTAGATCTGAGTTCTCTTTCCTATGACAAAATAAATTATAATCATGAGGTCCCATTTTCTTCATGTTCCTCCATGTTGACCCAAACATGGAGTTTCACTTGACCCTTAAGCATGTATTGCCGTCCATTTCCATTTTTCATTAAATGTGTTTATTGGGTGTAAGAACACCAATAAGTTTTCACTTTTCTCTTGTGATATAGGTGCAAGCGCGTCATAAATTTGCTCGTTTGCTTGGCTATTCAAACTATGCAGACTATGCTGTGAGTTTTAGAATGGCTAAGACTTCCTCAAAGGTTTGCATAATACTTTATTTACTTGGGGATAGTCGTATGTTAACTGTATGAATGAAAATAATGCAATTTCCATGTCTTCAAGCTTTCATTTTCTTTTTAAATGAAGGTGGGGTTTTTTGAATGGATTAAAGTAATTGACTGAAATATTGCCATCTCTCTCTCTCTCTTCCTTTCTCTTTTCTCCTTTCTCATGAACCACATTGGATCCTTTTTTGTCTAGTCTATTGACATTTTTTTTAACTGACAAGGTTGAGCAAGATCCTATTTTTTTTCCAATTTTGATTAGAACTTGTTGGGTGCCTCTGGGTCTATCACCTATCCAATGGAATGTGTTGTTCTATGTCATAACTCCTGGAATGCTTAGGGTCTTGACAATTCATTTCCCGATGATTTGTACTTTATTTTTTGCTATCAAGTTGAATTAGGATTAGAACACCTGTAAACAATGTATTTAAAGATGAATCACTTGTGTACATTTCTTTGTGATTCATTAAGGAGTGATATCTTCTTAGGACTTTGGAAATGTGGATAGTATTGCAATTCTTAGAAGATATTTCCTCCAGTTATCAGACTTAGCCCAGAAGGAGCTGGCTGTGTTGAAAGAGTTAAAGGTCAGAACATATTCTCCATCTTCTGGTTCCTTTGCCTTTTTCTTTCAGATGGATATTTTTTGCTTTTTTTTGTCATCAGAAGCAAGAGGAAGGAGAGCTTCCATTTGGAGTTGAAGATCTGCTGTACTATGTAAAGAAGGTTGAACAGCAGGAATTTGATTTGGACTTTGGGTCTCTCAAACAATACTTTCCTGTCGATTGGTTTTATCTGGAATTCAAAATATTCCAAGATCTTTTGGTAAGTTTATACATGCATATATGCAGTCATGGTGAATGTTCATCTCTTTGTATTGCATTGGTATCTATATGCTCATTCTACTTCATGCAGGTTTGAGATTTGAAGAAATTGCCAATGCTGAAGTCTGGCACAGTGATGTTAAAGTTTTTTCTGCTTTTGATTTGAGTTCTGGTGAACTTTGGTTATTTCTACCTTGACATGTACACGAGGTTCATGCATTACTTTTAAGTTATATCTTTATTTGTTTTAGCACTCCTTGATCTAGTTAGAAAGAAATGGGCTTTCCCTGTGTCAGGGAAGGGAAATATGGTCAAACTTGCATGGTTGCTCTTCAAAATGGTTCTGTAGCATTCATGTGCACGGCAGTGATCGATATTAAATAAATAAAATGTTCTCTTGCCTTCTTTCAGTGCATAAATAGAATTAATTTGCTCAAATTTTACCGAGATATGCTATGTGCTTTATCTTGAAATCCAGAGACTGATATTAATTCTCTCCTCTTGGTTTCCCTAGCAGATTCCAGTGGCATTGCTGATTTCTCAACTTCAGAAGGACACTGGCAGAGTTCCAAGTTTGTTGAGATTCTCTGAAGTGGTCAGTCTTTTCCATGAGTTTGGCCATGTGGTATGTTTGACTCTAAATTATCTTTTTGGGTTTTATTGCATGTTATTGTACTTTGTATTATTGGTAGATATCTATGAGCATTTAGGTCCAACATATGTGCAACCGTGCATCATTTTCAAGATTGTCTGGGGCGTGTTGATCCTGACTTTGTGGAGATCCCTGCTCATGTGCTAGAGCATTGGTAGGTCATAGATCCTACTATTTCTTGATTTCTTTATTTTTGGGTTAAGTAAATCTAGACCAGGACCCTACTATTTCTTATATTTTTTCAGACAGATGAAATTCCCCGACAATTGTTTTTAACATGTAGGTGTTATGAGAGCTTATCGTTGAAGTTGATATCTGGTTTCCATCAGGTGAGTACAACATCTTATTAACAAGTTCTGAATACACGTACTGTATGCAAATTTATGTGTGGAATTGCGTGTGCTATTGTGTCTGGTATTTATTCATATATGCATTGGCTTCGACTTCTGGCTTGCTTGTGGGGTATATTCATTGTGTGTTTAAGAACCGTTTTTTATTTTCGAAGACAAACTGTCTTTTTAATTACTAAAGGAGAACTAATTGCTTGAAGTTTTATCCGTGACATAATAATTTGTAGGATATTACAAAGCCCATCAAGGAGGAAATATGTAAATCACTTAAACGATGGCGATTTCCTTTTCAGCACTTAAATTGAAGCAAGAAGTTCTTTACTGTAAGTCTTTCTCTGTCATCAATCAGGAAACTCCTATTTTACTGAAATTTGTTGTGACCTCGACTTTCTTGGATCTGGAAAATCTCTTCTAATCATCTCGTTTTCACTATTTGATAAGTTTTCTGAAATCGATTATAGATCCCTGTGAGGGATGTCTAGTCTATTCTACTTGACGGATGGATTCACCGCCTTGGAATTTGTTTCTAGATGCATATTGTAACACATTATTTTTCCCCGCTCTTCAGTTAAGCTCTAAAGATGTTTTCTGACAGGTCTTTTTGATCAAATTATACATTCCGCTGATAACGTTGACATTGTGGAGTTATTCAAGCATCTTCATCCAAAGGTAAGCACATTTTCCTGTTCCTGCTTCTGAATATGTGCGACTAAAAGGAGAATCCTTATATATTTTTTCATTCCATTTTCGATATTCTTTAGGTAATGTTGGGATTGCCTATGTTAGAAGGAACCAATCCAGCTTCATGCTTCCCCCGGTGTGCTATCGGTTATGAAGCTGCTTGTTACAGTCGTATTTGGAGTGAGGTTCGATTAATCCATCCCAGTTTTTCTTGCCTGTTTTACCTTTATCCTCCAGATTGTTACGAACTGTTAGCTTTTTGTGTCTTTATGGCGCGATGCCAGTATGTATCGTGGATGATCTATTTTTCCTGAATGATAAATGCACCTGATGAAAATCATTTATGATGCTTCAAATGTTCAGGTATTTGCAGCAGATATATTTACGTCGAAGTTCCGTGACGATCTTTTGAGCCAGAATGTCGGTGTGCAGTTTCGAACTAAGGTAGTCACCATTAGTCTGTTACAATTTCTTATGCTGTTTTCCCATTGTCGAAAAGTTTGCTATACTTATTCTACTAGCACAGCCATCATAAAAAACCGAAATCTATGCATACGTCTCTCATGAGGACGATCATATCATCGTCGACGTCATAATATCCGGCTTCGTGTAGGTATTGTTTGCTATACCTACTAGCACAGCCAGAAATCTATGCATACTCTATGAGGACGATCATATCATCGTCGACGTCATAATATCCGGCTCGTGGTAGGTATTGGCACCAGGAGGAGCTTCCGGTCGAAATTCTGTCCGACTTTCTCGGAAGAGAACCATCAATTCAGACATTTATTGACAACGTTTGTGACAATGGAAGTTTTGGGTAATTTATCTTGGAGTTCACTTATCATCTTGCATTTGTAGCCTCTCGTCGTAAGTTATCATCAACATGACTTGTGTTGTATGTAAAATTTTGTACCCCTTTTTCTTTTTCTGAAAGTGAAATTTATCATAAATAATTGAATTTAGACTTATTCGGTTATGAAGTCATGCGATATTCGATAAGGAACACTATCCTTATCATCTAATTAATCTGTCAATGATTTGTTTTAAGGGCGTGATACAAGATTTCAAGCATTCCTAAATATTGCCGGTAAAAAAGGTTGGTTCATCGCTCTAGATTTGGGGTAAATTCTGTGTTTAGTATTTAAACAATCAGTTTTGATCTATAATTTTGTTTCATTTTAATAAATTTAACGACAATATATTTTTATGGGTAAATTATATCATTCATCACTCAACTATTTTCTCATTTTTATTTTGATACTAAAGTTTAAAAAATTTCAGTTTAACTACTCAATTTTTAAATTGCTATTGTTTTAATCACTCTAATTTATTTCATTAATAATTTTTATGACATGACATGACATTTATTATTATTATTATTTTATTAATACAAAATTAAAAATTAAATTGAAAGTTAGAGTGATTAAATTAGGAGTAATTTGAAAATTAAGTAATTAAATTAAAATAAAATAAAATTTAGTGACTAATTTATGAGTGAAAAGATAATTGATTGATGAATGATGTAATTTATCTATAAAAAAGGCGTCACGTGCAAATCATTTGTAAAGTTTTTAACGGAGAGATACTAAAACGAAATAAAAACTAAACGTTAGGTATGATTTACCTTATATATTTTTAGAGTTTAGATACTAAACAAAAATTAAGCTAAAGTTTATATATTAAAATGAATTAAAATTGATAGTTTAGATATTAAACACGTAATTTACCCTATATCTTTTTAGAGTTAAGTCACTTTAATGACACTTAAATCGACAGAACAATTATCGTCCGACTGTCGACAGAACCTCAATTTTCTCGTTAAAGAATCCATTTAAGAGGAAAACAGCACAGCACTGAACGAGTGTACGGTAGTTAATGAAAACGAAAAACGAAGGACGACGACGTCGTAGAAGGCGCTGGTTTTGGATTTTCTGGTTTCTGTTTCAGATTTTACCTTTGACTACAACAGACTAAGTCCACGAAATGAGTAGAGAAAATGAATTTTTTTTTGCAGAGATTGAGAAGTCAATGAAGGAAGAATGACTGAGAACACAGTCAACAAATCACAGCTACCAAACCAAGATGGAAACCTTTGCAGATAATTTTCTTGCAGCCTTCTTTTCTTTCTAATTCTCCGTTATTTATATCTGCATTTTTCTGCATGTGTTTGTTTTTCTTTAATTAATGAAAAAAAGGGAAGGAAAATAAACTTTCTATATTGTATAGAGTGCTTTGATTGTTTCAATTCAGCTTATATAGATAATTTGAAACATGGAATATCCTGGTATTTACTTGGTTTGTTCTTGTTCATTTCCTCTGTTGCTTTCATTGGTGGAAGAACAGAGAAGGCTGTGCTGATGATTTTTAGTTTTGGGTGAGTTTGTCCTTACTGGGTTTTGATCTTCAAGCCGGAAAGCTTGAATTTTTGCAATGTTTGGGCTGAGTTTCTGATATGTTGCTTGATGCTTAACAAAGGGTCTTTGTTTTAGCTGAACAAAGGATTTGGTATTCCATGGATTTTGATTGGTGGGATTAAGAGGGAAGGGGAGGTGGATCATGTTCAAACAGATTTTAAGCTTCCCCAGAAGTCATCGAAGAACTGGGAGAATCGTTACAAAATGACACTATTATAAAACATAAGTAATTTAATATTTATTTTGTTTAAGATCCAAACACTTAATTTATATAAATTTATAGATTCATCATCAAATGTAACATTAAAAACCAACATCCGACGACCACTATTTACCACTATTTATCGTCGAAAACCTACCATGAGTGAAGTTGTCGAGGTGCTCAAAGGAGAGTCCAAACAGAAATGAAGTGAACCAGAAAATAATGAATTGTTGAAGCTCATAAACCAAGATCATGAAGTATAGATTTTTCGGCAATTAAAACTGGTTTTCGACGATAAACAGTGGTCCTCGGGTGTTGGTTTTTGGTGTTGTTGGTGATGAATATGTAAATTTATATAAATTAAGTGATTAAATCTTAAACAAGTCAAATTTTAAATTAATTATATTTTTTAATATTTATATCTTCATTAGAATTAAAAGTAAAATTTAACTAACGAGATAGGTTCAAGTTGTAAACTACTTGATATCGCTTAAGCAATATCTTAGGTTCTAGTCTTTGTGTAAGTATAATAAGAAAGGGCGAGAAAAGCCGCCACCGTATCATCTAATTAAGTGTAGAATGATACATATTTATTACATCTTGAAGACTATGATACATCACTCTTGCTTCACCAATGTGAAGAAGGGATGTCTAAGGACTATTTTATTCACAAAATGTAAATACAATAGTGAAGTGAGCCTATGGATGAGAGGATTGAAGTAAGCTACGATGCTTGTTGACGAGGTCGGCGAAAGGTGGTTTGCAGAAGCCGTCCTGGAGGAAGAGACGAGTAATTTGTTTATGCATTGCTTCTGTAAGATGAACTCCATCCCAATGAATGTAATTATTGGGGTTGCTGCAAGTCTTGGTGCCAGGCATGCCGCATAGAATGTCCAAGTTAAAGTTGAGTCCACCCCCGATGCCGCAGCATGTGTCGACTCCGTTTGAAAAACCAAACCCAGTGAGGTTTCCCATGATTGTCTTGAACGCGTTGTAATAGTCGGCGTATGCGATTATGGCGGAGGGATGTATTTTCTGGAATTCTTCCAGTGTCTTCTGTAAGAGATCATTGTGAGCCATTATTGCTTTATTGATAACCTCGGAACACCCCATGTTGTCCTTGGCAAAATGGGGAGCTAATAACTTGGCTAATGGCCAACACCCCACCGGTGGTAGTCCTTGAACCACGATGAACTTCGCACCACTATCCAACACCGTCTGCAACAACAAAAAATGAAGTTTCAAATTCATATTTCAGGATGTTTGATGTTAAACCTGATAATATCAGACAAGATACAAGTACCGTGAGGATTTTGGAGATTTGGTCGAGAGTTATATCGGTGAGCCACCGCAAGGAAACAGGAGACCCGATAACACGGGCGAAGTCATCTGCACCAATTTGTCCAAGCCAAATGAGGTAGTTTCCCATTTGTGCTTTGCATTGTTCTGTGATTTTCCCATTGCAGGCTTTTTCTGTGAAGAACTGGTTGAACCATTCTATTTGTGTCTGGAAACCTAATGGAGTGCCTTGCCACACAAAGTTGTTGGAGACCTTGTGAGCACTAAAAAAGTCACTCGAAAGAGACGTTGAACCTCCGACTGCGAAATTCACGCCACAGTTTTCTTTGATAGCAGGGTTCTTGGAAGCAACTTCAAATGGTGGCAACACAGATATGTTGAGAGAATCACAAAGAAAATCAATAACCAAGCGACCATTACTTGATCTACCAGTAAACTCGAGGTTTGAGTGCATGGCTTGATCAATTTCTGATAAGAATTCACTCATAAAGCTTTTCATACTGCCTAATGATTGGGCATTTCCGGTGTCGGTGTACGAGTCTCCAAAAGCAAAAACCTTAGAGAAACTATGAGCAAATTGGCTTTTGTCATAACCCGTAGAAATATCAGAACTTACGGAAGAACTAGAGTTTGTAGAACCTTGAGCATCATAAGAATTGGTGCCTCTCAAAGAACCAGTGTGTACCGCAGAGTATCCAGATGTCGCAAAAGAACCGGTGTGTGCCGCAGAGTTGCTGGATGTTGCAGAAGAACCGCTGTGTGTGACAGAGTGACTAGATATAACAGAAGAACCGATCTGTGCCGCAGAGTGACTAGATCTCGCAAAAGAACCGCTTTGTGCTGTAGAGTGACTAGATGTTGCAGAAGAACCAATGTGTGGGGAAGAGCCTGAAGTTGTAAAACTATCACCCATAGGAGAACCAACAACTGTGGAAGGGCCCATAGTAGAACTAGAAGATGTAGAAGAACCAGTTCTTGTGGAAGAACTGGAATCACCAGAATGTGATAAAGCATGTGAATCTTTAAAATTGTTGGAACTTGAACCTGTGGAAGAGGTTGAATCACCGGAACTTGAACTTGCGGAAGAGCTTGAATCACCGGAACCTGATGTACAATTCAAATTATTAGAATCCTTAGAATGTTTACAACATGATAACGAATATGAACTTGTGTACGTACCAGAGTTTGTGGCAGAGTTAGAAGCACCAGAATCATTAAAGGAACCAAAATGGTTAAAAGAACCAGAGTGTGAAGATGAACTGGAATGGGACAATGACCCAGAAGTTGAACTAGAATGTGAGGACGTGCCTGAACCCTTATAAGTGCTAGAACCCAATGAAGAGCCGAAACTTTTAGAAGAAGCAAAATGTGAGGATGATCTAGAAGTTGCATTTGAATGTGAGAAAGATGAAGAGTCATGACCCGTAGCAACACTGTGACTTGTAGAACCGGAATGTGAAGACGGGCCAAAACCCTTAGAATCACTAGAACCTGATGAGGAACCAGTACTTGAAGCCCCGGAGCCTGATGAAGAGTGAGAGGTTGTAGCAGAACCGGAATAAGACTTGTTTGAATTTACGGAAGAGACAGAACCTTTAGAAGTAGAATGTAAAAATGAAGTGGAATGTGAGGATGATCCAGAAGCTGCACTTGAATGTGAGAAAGATGAAGAACCATGACCTGCAGCAACACTGTGACTCGTAGAACCAGAATGTGAAGACGAGCCAGAACCCTTAGAATCGCTAGAACCTGATGAAGAACCAGAACTTGAAGCCCCAGAACCTGATGAAGAGTGAGAAGTCGTAGCAGAACCAGAATCCTTAGATTTGTTCGAATCTACGAAAGAGCCAGAACCTTTAGAAGTAGAATGTGAAAATGAACCGGAATGTGAGGATGATCCAGCAGCTGCACTTGAATGTGAGGATGAACCAGAAGCTGCACTTGAATGTGAGAAAGATGAAGAACCATGACCTGCAGCAACACTGTGACTCGTAGAACCAGAATGTGAAGACGAGCCAGAACCCTTAGAATCGCTAGAACCTGATGAAGAACCAGAACTTGAAGAGGAACTTGAAGCCCCAGAACCTGATGAAGAGTGAGCAGTCGTAGCAGAACCAGAATCCTTAGATTTGTTCGAATCTACGAAAGAGCCAGAACCTTTAGAAGTAGAATGTGAAAATGAACCGGAATGTGAGGATGATCCAGCAGCTGCACTTGAATGTGAGGATGATCCAGAAGCTGCACTTGAATGTGAGAAAGATGAAGAACCATGACCTGCAGCAACACTGTGACTCGTAGAACCAGAATGTGAAGACGAGCCAGAACCCTTAGAATCGCTAGAACCTGATGAAGAACCAGAACTTGAAGCCCCAGAACCTGATGAAGAGTGAGAAGTCGTAGCAGAACCAGAATCCTTAGATTTGTTCGAATCTACGAAAGTGCCAGAACCTTTAGAAGTAGAATGTGAAAATGAACCGGAATGTGAGGATGATCCAGCAGCTGCACTTGAATGTGAGGATGATCCAGAAGCTGCACTTGAATGTGAGAAAGATGAAGAACCATGACCTGCAGCAACACTGTGACTCGTAGAACCAGAATGTGAAGACGAGCCAGAACCCTTAGAATCTCTAGAACCTGATGAAGAACCAGAACTTGAAGAGGAACTTGAAGCCCCAGAACCTGATGAAGAGTGATAAGTCGTAGCAGAACCAGAATCCTTAGATTTGTTCGAATCTACGAAGGAGCCAGAACCTTTAGAAGTAGAATGTGAAAATGAACCGGCAGCTGCACTTGAATGTGAGGATGATCCAGAAGCTGCACTTGAATGTGAGAAAGATGAAGAACCATGACCTGCAGCAACACTGTGACTCGTAGAACCAGAATGTGAAGACGAGCCAGAACCCTTAGAATCGCTAGAACCTGATGAAGAACCAGAACTTGAAGCCCCAGAACCTGATGAAGAGTGATAAGTCGTAGCAGAACCAGAATCCTTAGATTTGTTCGAATCTACGAAAGAGCCAGAACCTTTAGAAGTAGAATGTGAAAATGAACCGGAATGTGAGGATGATCCAGCAGCTGCACTTGAATGTGAGGATGATCCAGAAGCTGCACTTGAATGTGAGAAAGATGAAGAACCATGACCTGCAGCAACACTGTGACTCGTAGAACCAGAATGTGAAGACGAGCCAGAACCCTTAGAATCGCTAGAACCTGATGAAGAACCAGAACTTGAAGAGGAACTTGAAGCAGTGTGATAAGTCGTAGCAGAACCAGAATCCTTAGATTTGCTCGAATCTACGAAAGTGCCAGAACCTTTAGAAGTAGAATGTGAAAATGAACCGGAATGTGAGGATGATCCAGCAGCTGCACTTGAATGTGAGGATGATCCAGAAGCTGCACTTGAATGTGAGAAAGATGAAGAACCATGACCTGCAGCAACACTGTGACTCGTAGAACCAGAATGTGAAGACAAGCCAGAACCCTTAGAATCGCTAGAACCTGATGAAGAACCAGAACTTGAAGCCCCAGAACCTGATGAAGAGTGATAAGTCGTAGCAGAACTAGATTCCTTAGACTTGTTAGAATCTGTGGAAGAGCCAGAACCCTTAGAAGAAGCGGAATGTGAAAATGAATTGGAATGTGAGGATGGTCCTGAAGCTGAACTTGAATGTGATGAAGATGAAGAGCCATGGCTAATAGCACCATCATGAGTTGCAGAACTAGTATGTGAGTATGAGCCATAACCCTTAGAATCGCTAGAAGTTAATGATGAATTAGAATTTTTGGAGGAATTCGAAACCCCAAAACCTAATGAAGATTGGGAAGTCCCGGTAGAATTGGAATCCATTGAATTGTTTGAATCTATAGAAGAGTTAGAACCTTTAGAAATTGTCGCAGAATCGGAATTATTAGACTTGTTAGAATCAGCGGAAGAGCCAAAATGTGAGAAAGATGAAGAGCCATGACCCGTAATACCACCTTGATTTGTTGAACTAGAACCTTTAAAATCATTAGAATTTGCAGTAGTGCCAGAACCTTCAATAGAACCAGAATGATGAAAAGAAGCTGAATGTGAAGCTGAACTGGAATGTGAGGATGCGCTAGAAGCTGAACCTGCATGTGAGAAAGATGCAGAGCTATGACCCATAGCACCTCCTTGATTTGAAGAATCAGATTGTGAGGAATTGTTAGAACTCTTAGAAACCCCATTACCTGATGAAGAACCAGAACTTGTAGAGGAACCGGAAGCCCCGGAACCTGATGAAGAGTTAGAAGTCACAGCAGAACCGGAACCTTTAGAGTCATCAACGTCCGTTGTAGTTCCAGAACCTTTAATAGAACCAGAGTGATTAAAAGAAGCAGAATGTGAAGCTGAACCGGAATGCAAGGATGAGCTAGAAGCTGAACTCGAATGTGAGAAAGATGAAGAGCCTTGACCCGTAATGCCACCTTGATTTGCTGAACTAGATTGTGATGATTCACCAGAACCTTTAGAATCATTAGAATTTGCAGTAGTACCAGAACTTTCAATAGAACCAGAATGATGAAAAGAAGCGGAATGTGAAGCTGAACTGGAATGCGAGGATGCGCTAGAAGCTGAACCTGCATGTGAGAAAGATACAGAGCTATGACCCATAGCACCTCCTTGATTTGAAGAATCAGATTGTGAGGAATTGTCAGAACCCTTAGAAACCCCATAACCTGATGAAGAACCAGAACTTGTAGAGGAACCGGAAGTCCCGGAACCTGATGAAGAGTTAGAAGTCACAGTAGAACCGGAACCTTTAGAGTCATCAACATCCGTTGTAGTTCCAGAACCTTTAATAGAACCAGAGTGATTAAAAGAAGCAGAATGTGAAGCTGAACCGGAATGCAAGGATGAGCTAGAAGCTGAACTTGAATGTGAGAAAGATGAAGAGCCTTGACCCGTAATGCCACCTTGATTTGCTGAACTAGATTGTGATGATTCACCAGAACCTTTAGAATCATTAGAATTTGCAGTAGTACCAGAACTTTCAATAGAACCAGAATGATGAAAAGAAGCGGAATGTGAAGCTGAACTGGAATGCGAGGATGCGCTAGAAGCTGAACCTGCATGTGAGAAAGATACAGAGCTATGACCCATAGCACCTCCTTGATTTGAAGAATCAGATTGTGAGGAATTGTCAGAACCCTTAGAAACCCCATAACCTGGTGAAGAACCCGAACTTGTAGAGGAACCGGAAGCCCCGGAACCTGATGAAGAGTTAGAAGTCACAGTAGAACCGGAACCTTTAGAGTTATCAACATCCGTTGTAGTTCCAGAACCTTTAATAGAACCAGAGTGATTAAAAGAAGCAGAATGTGAATCTGAACCGGAATGCAAGGATGTGCTAGAAGCTGAACTTGAATGTGAGAAAGATGAAGAGCCATGACCCGTAATACCACCTTGATTTGCTGAACTAAATTGTGATGATTCACCAGAACCTTTAGAATCATTAGAATTTGCAGTAGTACCATAACTTTCAATAGAACCAGAGTGATGAAAAGAAGCGGAATGTGAAGCTGAACTGGAATGGGAGGATGCGCTAGAAGCTGAACCTGCATGGGAGAAAGATGCAGAGCTATGACCCATAGCACCACCTTGATTTGAAGAATCGGATTGTGAGGAATTGTCAGAACCCTTAGAAACCCCATAACCTGATGAAGAACCAGAACTTGTAGTGGAACCGGAAGCCCCGGAACCTGATGAAGAGTTAGAAGTTGCAGTAGAGCCTGAACCTTTAGAATCATCAACATTCGTTGTAGTTCCAGAACCTTTAATAGAACCAGAGTGATTAAAGAAGCAGAATGTGAAGCTGAACCGGAATGTAAGGATGAGCTAGAAGCTGAACTTGAATGTGAGAAAGATGAAGAGCCATGACCCGTAATACCACCTTGATTTGCTGAACTAGATATTGATGATTCACCAGAACCTTTAGAATCATTAGAATTTGCAGTAGTACCAGAACTTTCAGTAGAACCAGAATGATGAAAAGAAGCGGAATGTGAAGCTGAACTGGAATGTGAGGATGAGCTAGAAGCTGAACCTGCATGTGAGAAAGATGCAGAGCTATGACCCATAACACCACCTTGATTTGAAGAATCGGATTGTGAGGAGTTGTCAGAACCCTTAAAAACCCCATAACCTGATGAAGAACCAGAACTTGTAGTGGAACCGGAAGCCCCGGAACCTGATGAAGAGTTAGAAGTCACAGTAGAACCGGAACCTTTAGAGTTATCAACATCCGTTGTAGTTCCAGAACCCTTAGAAATCCCAGAACTTGTAGAACCCTTAGAAATCCCAGAACTTGTAGAGGAACCGGAAGCCCCGGAACCTGTTGAAGACTTAGAAGTCACAACAGAACCTAAACCTTTAGAATCATCAGAATTTGCACGAGTATCAGAACTTTCAATAGAACCAGAATGATGAAAAGAAGCAGAATGCGAATCTGAATTAGAATGTGAGGATGCACCAGAAACTGAGCTTGAATGTGATACAGAAGAAGAAGAGCCCTTGTCATCGTCATGTTTTGCCGAAAGTGATTGCGAGCCCGAAAATGAATGGGAAGCTGCATCAGAACTTGAATGCGAGATAGAACCAGAATGCGAAAAGGAACCGGAATCCAACTTTATAGGAGGTGGATCAGGGATGCCCGGAATCGGGTTCACATCATGGAAATGTGCGCAGGGGAATGATAATGATAAGTAGAAAGCAATAGATAACGCCTCAAAGACATGCTTTAAAATCATCGTCTTGTTTTTATATGTTTCAAATGACGATATTTATTTATTTTTATTTTTTCTTGCTTTAGGTTTGTGTGTATTCGGAGTTTTTTTTATACATATCGTTCCTGCTTAATATAGTATACATGGAAGGGGTACTGCATGGAGTGTCATTGGTTTTAGGATGACGTAGAGTTCTCCGGTGCTTACAGGAGTTTGTGGTTTAGCAAATTTTATTCTTTGTTTTTCTTCCCTTCCAATAATAATAATAATAATAATAATAATAATAATAATAATAATAATAATAATGTAAGAGAATAAATACAACTCTTATTGAAAATCAAATTTATTTTAATTGATTTATGAAATTCATAATTCTTACTATTACTTAAAGTAATATATTGGATCATTGTATTAAATTCTTAGCATTTAAGTATTTTTATTAAAGTTTTATGAAAAAATGAAACAAAAAGAGAATATTTTTAGTATATTGGATGCATATATTGTTTTATGTATGTAATTTAAAATAATTTTATATATACCATAACTTTGAGTTAATTATACAAAAGATATTTAAACTATAAATCTAATTTTAAATTGATTTTAAACTTTAAAATATTTTATTTACGTCCTTGCAATATTATTTCAATAAGATCTTTATGTGTTCTCCTGTTACTTAGACATTACTGCTGACAATAGTTGTAACCAAGTGATGACATGTTTGGTTCGGGTTTTGAGTTCATCAAAGATTCATGTTATTGTTCTTTAAACTCTGATAATTTATTATGTGATATTCTAAAATTGACCTGCAATATACAATAAATTTAAGATGTTATATTGGACTATCGAACGACTATCAAATTAAAAAAATAATTATTCAGACTAAATACTTTCAAAATATTCATACTAAATCAAATCAATATGTAAATAAAATAAAAAATTTATTTAAAATCGGAGCTGCGTTATAATATAATGTAAATACAATGCATCAAATTAATAGTAGAGTTACATATTGAAATATCATTAAGATCTTACGAATACATATGTTCACTAAGATAAATCGAATATCGTACTCTGAATAGAAGGTGTTGAAAATCTCTCAATGACAATGTTACTTTAACTGAATTATGATAAATTGATACATCGAAAAAAATACAAGAACGTTGAACTTTACGAGCTCAATAACATTTTCCTAATATACTATATTTTATGTAATTCATAAATATAACTATGTAATATTAATATAAACAAAAAGACATAAGTTTGAAAAAAAATTAGTATGAAAAAAAATCTAATTTTTAATTTAGATATATTAATCAGCATCAGAATCACTGAGATCTAAACTGATTCAAGTTAAAATTATTTTTATTTTTTAATCTTTTTAAATAAGGGTTTACACTGGATGTAATTGAATTATGCTCAAATAATTATTATGATTATATAACTTTTAAAAATAATAAAATAATTATTTGATTTACAAATTAGTATAAAATGATTATTATATTTATAAAATTATTAAAAAAAATAGTATTAAATAGTATCTAAATATTATAAAATAATAATTAAAATTATAAAAAAATACAATTATTATAACATTGTAATGAGAATTTTGTAAATATTCAATAAATCTAGTGTTTATTGTATAATTATTGAAAATTTAACAGCTAAAATGATTATTTGATCATAACTCAATGAATTACAATTTAATTTCCCCTTCCAAATAGGACCCAATTTAGTTCAGATAATATGAAGAGAGGATTCCTTCAGCAACAACAAAAATGAAGAGAGGAGAAAAAAGGGAGATGTTTGGAAATGAATCATTGACAATGGCGAGACTAGACGTTTGCATCTAATTGGAGCCATAACTCGTCATCATGCATACTCATCATCAACGAAAAACGACAGAGTAAGGCCAAGTACCAAAACAAAATCATAAGAAACAAAAATCACAAAAGGAAATTACTCCATTTGATAAATTCTCCTTGGAATCGAAGCTCCACCGGAATCTAATCAGCGCATCAATCTACCGTAAATCCAGGTCAAATCCATTCACACCTTGATTTCTAGGTTTTTTTATTAATTTGTTTGTTTGTTGCTGTATTTTTTATTTCACGTTTGATTAGTGTTATTGAAGAAGGAACGTGCTTTGATTATTATGAATTTATATGACGAGTAGGAAATAGAAAAAATGTCTGAATTTCACGATACGGAAAATTCTGGAGCTGATAATCGACCTCAATCTTCGTCTGATCAGGTTTCCTTTTTTTTTTTACAATTTGAAATCTCAGTTTTGTTTTCCTTTTATTCTTATCATTGTTGATAGGAAAAATCTTTAATTACGTTTTTTTTTGTTTCAAAAAATCAATTTAGGAAGAGATGCTTCATGTTGATAGCAGAGAAGATCTGTTTGTGGATGCTCCGGATGAGTTGAATGATAATAAGGAAGGTGGAACTCCGAATCCAAAATCGGCGAATGCCAGTCCGAGCGCCATCCATTTGGAGGAAAAACAGAAGGAAGTAGCTAATCAGTTTAAAAAAATGCACAATAATGATAGCAATCGCTTTGTCAATGAAATAGAGCGCTTGCAAGCTTCACTTGAGCAGGCAGTTGATGAAAAAGAGAAACTTGAAGTCAAATACAAGGTTTAGTAGATTTGTCTAGATATGGGTCAATGATTTTTATGTTTTCAAAATGATGCTTAGGGATTTAGTGTATGCAGGAAGAAATGGAGGTGCTTGCAAGGGAGGTTCATATAAAGGATAAAGAGATTGAAGGGCTGAATGCTACGGTTACGAGTTTTGTAGCTGAAGCTGAGGAGGTTTATGCAGAGAAGCACTGGAAATGTGAGGGTGTAATGGAGAGGATTTTGGCTGCTCTTGGGTCAGTTGTTGATCAAGGAGATATTTCAGGTGATTCTGGTGGAGATCAGATTGATCTTGTTGAGAAAAGCACATTGGCATTAATGGAGAAGTATAACCAATTTCTTATTGAAGTTAACCAACTTGGGCAGTGTTTGACAAAGGCTGAGCATGATTTTGGTGTGCAGGAGTTTGGGACTGTATTTGTTGCGGCCCGTGATGAGGTATTTGAGTTGAGGAGGAAGGAAGCAGAGCTGATTGAAAAAATAGGTCTTTTGGAAGATGAAAATAGGAAATTGCTTGAACAAGTTGAAAATGAAAAATCAACAGTGGAGACTCTGAATTCAGAGCTTGAAAATATGAAGACGGAGGTTGAACAGGAAAAGACAAAGTGTGCTAACGCTAAAGAAAAGCTGAATTTAGCCGTGACTAAAGGGAAGGCATTGGTTCATCAGCGGGATGTTCTGAAACAGTCTATGGCTGATAAAACAAATGAGCTTGATAACTGTCTGGCCGAATTGCGAGAGAAGACTAATGCCCTAGAGGCTGCTGATTTACATAAGGAAGAGCTGGTGAAAAGTGAAAACTTGGTTGCATCATTGCAAGAATCACTCTCGCAAAAGACCTTGATTCTTGAGACGTTTGAACACATCCTATCTCATCTTGACGTACCTGAGGAACTTCAATCAGTGGATATTGTTGGAAGAGTTAGATGGCTTGCTAATGAAAGAAATGAATTGAAGGGTGTTTCATTGGACTTCTACAGATTGAAAGATACCATTTGTGCAATTGATTTACCTGAAAATATCTCCTTTCCTGATTTAGATTCTCGCTTGGCTTGGCTTAAGGAATCTTTTTACCGAGCTAAAGATGAAATAAATATGTTACAAAATGAATTGTGCACAACAAAGGAAGTTGCAAGTGATGAGATAGATAAATTGAGTGCTTTAATTTTGACTGTACAACAAGAGAAGGACTGCATTAAGGAAGAATTTGATCAACTCAGAATTAAAAACGATGAAATTGTTGCAAGGGCAGAACACGTAGCATTGGACAAGGATCATTTAAGTGATTCACTTGCTGCAGAACTAACTGAGAAGGATAAAATCCAAAAGGAGTTGGACGATCTCACGAATAAATATGAAAATGTAGTTGAGAAGGTCCATCAACTTTCATCAGAGAAAGATCAGATGATTCGGTTGTTGGTAGAGGGTTCCAGAAAAGTGATGGTGGATCAAGATGGGATTGAAGAGACATATTCTAATCTACCCATGTTAATTGATAGATTCTTAGAGAAGATACAAGAACAAACAAGTCCATCTGTGGAGATTCCTTTTGTGGATACAGAACCATTGGACAAATATCAATTTCTTTTGTATGTTAGGGATCTGGAGTCGATGCTTTATAAGGAATTACTAGAAGAAGATATGCTGGTGAGGTCACAACTGAATGATCTGTCGAATCTGTTCAAAGTAACTTCTCAGGAACTTTTTGCATTGAAGGAGGACAAAGATGTCTTGCAAAAAGATCTAGAACGATCAGAGGAGAAATCTGGTCTGTTGAGGGAGAAGTTAACAATGGCGGTTAAAAAAGGAAAGTTATTGGTGCAAGAGAGGGAAAACTTGAAAGTTCTTCTGGAGGAAAAGAAGTCAGAAATTCAGAAGCTGAGGCTTGAGTTACAACAGGAAGAGTCTAGAGTTGCTGAGTGCACAGGGCAGATGAGTACCTTGTCTGCTGATTTAGAGCGCGTCCCAAAGATGGAGAGCAGCCTTGCATCCATGAAAGAGGAAAATGATCAACTTGAGAATTTATTGTTCGAGAGCAATAGCAAATTGCAAAGGGTAGTTGAATCTATTGATCGCATTGTTATTCCAGTTGACACAGCATTTCTAGAGCCTATAGAGAAGCTAAACTTGCTTGTTGGGTATATTGATGATTGCCAGACTGCCAAGACAGAGACCGAACTAGAGTTGGGGGAAGTAAAGGAAGAGACTAGCACCCTGGCTGTGAAGTTAGCAGAGGCCCAAGAAACTATTGATTCGCTAACTAACAAGTTTGCTGAGGCTTGCGAGGCTAGAAAGTCGCTTGAAGAGGCGTTGTCACTTGCAGAAAATAAAAATTCAATACTAATCAGTGAGAAAGAGGAGGTTCAAGGTAGCAAAGCTGCTTCAGAGATGGAAGTGGAGAAAGCGAGAGAGGAAGTTACTTGTCAGACCAGCAGACTCACAGAGGCATATAACACTATAAAGTCACTTGAAAATGCACTTTCTCTGTCAGAGATGACGGTTAATTCACTAACTGAACAAAGCAACAAGGCACATGCGGAAATAACCAACTTGAACAATGAGCTGAAAAAACTGAAATATGAAATCGAATCCCAGACTAACCAGCTGACAGATGCTGGCAAAGCCATTAAATCACTAGAAGATGCATTGGTTAGGGCAGAAAATGACTTTTCTGCACTTCTAGACGAAAAAATAACTGCTGATCAGGAGGTATCAACCCTTAATTCCAAACTGAATGTGTGCATGGAAGAGCTGGCTAGAAGCAGTGGCAGCTTAGCTAGCAGATCCACAGAGTTGATTGGTCATCTTAACAATCTTCAAATGCTTGCCAAAGACCAAAGTTTGTTGTCTACAATGAATCAATGCTTTGATAGGAACTTGGCGCGCCTTAAAGATTTGGACCTTACCATTAAAAACACTAGGGAGCATTTATTTGACAATGATTTGGAACTGCTGCAAGGTTACCCCCTCATAGAGGTGATGCAGAATTTTCCTTTTTCTTTAGCCTGTTGCCTTCTGGACAGGGAATCACCATCTTTCCATAATTTCCTGGATGAGTAAAGAATTTGTTACTCTTTTTAATTGTTTCTTCCTTTTTTCCTTCACAGGATATTGCTAGTCTGCTGAGACAATTCTCTGATGATACTGATAATACTTTAAATATTGAGATGGAGAAAGTCGAAGCAAATGCAATAAATGCTGATGATGTTTCTTCATGTTTTAGAAGGATTACTGAAGTGTTTCAATTCCGAAACAAACTCCTTGCAGATAGGTTTGAAGGTTTTTCGAGCTTCCTGGATGAGTCATTAGCAGCCCTGTTAAGAAAATTACAGGCCACAGAGGATGAGGTGAAAAGTATGACCAAGAATAAACAAGAATATGATCAAAAGGAGTTGGACAATCTCACTAGTAAATATGAAAAAGTAGTTGAGAAGGTCCAGCAACTTTCATCAGAGAAAGATCAGATGATCCAGTTGTTGGTTGAAGGTTCTGGAATAGTGATGGGGGGTCAAGAAGGGATTGAAGAGACTTCTTCTAATCTACCCATGTTGATAGATAGGTGCTTAAAGAAGATAAAGGAACAAACAAGTGCATCATTGGAGATTCCTTTTGTGGATCCAGAACTTTTTGAAAATTTTCAGAGTCTTCTGTATGTTAGGGATCTGAAGTTGATGCTTTTTGAGGAAATACTGGAAGAAGATATGTTGTTGAGGTCAACACTGAATGATCTGTCAAATCAGTTCCAAGTAACTTCTCAGGAACTCTTTGCATTGAAGGAGGAGAAAGATGTTCTACAAAAAGATCTTGAACAGTCAGAGGAGAAATCTGGTCTGTTGAGGGAGAAGTTATCAATGGCAGTTAAGAAAGGCAAGGGATTGGTTCAAGATCGGGATAAATTGAAAGTTCTTCTCGAGGAAAAGAAGTCGGAAATTGAGAAGCTGAGGCTTGAGTTACAACAGGAAGAGTCTAGAGTTGCTGAGTTCACAGGGCAGATCAGTACTTTGTCTGCTGATTTAGAGCGCATCCCAAAGTTGGAGAGAAACCTTGCATCTATGAAAGAGGAAAAGGATCAACTTGAGAAGTTCTTTTTTGAGAGCAATGGCAAATTACAAAGGGTAATTGAATCTATCGATCGCATTTTTCTTCCAGTTGACTCGGCATTACTAGAGCCTGTAGAGAAGTTGAACTTGCTTGCTGGGTATATCGATGATTGTCAGACTTCCAAGATACGGATTGAACAAGAGTTGAGGGAAGTAAAAGAAGAGGCTAGCACCCTGGCTGGAAAGTTAGCAGAGGCCCAAGCGACTATTGATTATTGTCAGACTTCTAAGACACAGACTGAACAAGAGTTGCAGAAAGTAAAGGAAGAGGCTAGCATCCTGGTTGGCAAGTTAGCAGAAGCCCAAGCAACTATTGATTGTTGTCAGACTACCAAGATACAGATTGAACAAGAGTTGAGGGAAGTAAAGGAAGAGGCTAGCATCTGGGCTGGCAAGTTAGCAAAGGCTAGCATCCTGGCTGGCAAGTTAACAGAGGCCCAAGCAACTATGAAATTACTTGAAGAGTCATTGGCTATTGCGAAGGATGATTTGTCCCAACTTGCTGAAGAGAAAAAGGAGATGGAAATTGGTAAAAACAATACAGAAATAGAGTTACAGAAAGCAATTAAAGAGAGAGATGTATCCCAATGCAGGGTTTTAAAGTTGGAGAGTGATGTAGGTGTGTTGGAAGATTCTTGCAGAGAAGCGAGGGTGACGATAGAGGAATATCAAGCAAAAGAAGACGGATGGAAAGAAAAAGAGGAAGAACTTTTGTCATCATACAATAGCTTGTTAATGAAAGAAAAAGGTAACGTTTTCCTCTCACTCGGTTATTCTTGTGGTCTTGATGTTTAATTGTCAATACTCCATATTAAGTTGATTTTTTTTAATTGTTGTAGAAGCTGAAGAGCCTCTTCTGTCAGCATATCAAACAAGAATTCTGTTGAAAAAGTTAGTTGGGATTGAAATTCCTCTTGTGGAGTCCGACAGCCTGGAACCCCGTTGCTCTGCTGATGTTAAGAAACTGTTTTCTGTTATTGGTAGTTTCACTGATTTGCAGAATCAATTATATTTGCTATCTTCTGAGAAGGAAGAACTACAGTGTACGTTTTCAAGACAGAATTTTGAAATTGAGCATCTTAAAGAAGAAATAGAAACACATGTTACGAATAAGACAGACTTGGAACAGATGAAAACGGAGCTGTTTGAGGTTACATTTGGTTTGGAAAAGATTATTGTCATCTTGGGAGGTAAAGAGTTTATTGAAGGCCAAAATCCTGTTGGTACGAAAACTCTTTTGCTTGTATTAGAAAAGCAAGTTAACAGCCTGCTGTTGGAGGCTGAAAATTCAAAATCTAAAGCAGAGGAACTTGGTACCAAATTGGCCTTAAGCCAACAGGTCATGAATGAATTGTCAACTAAGGTTAAGTTACTTGAAGATTACATACAGGGTAAGACTATTCTGCCTGAGAATGTCCAGGAAAGGGGCATCTTTGAAGCACCTTCTGCATCCACTGGATCAGAAATATCTGAAATTGAAGACCCGGTAAGTAATTTTTTGCACTTTTCCATAAGTAATTCATTTTATTAACTTGGTCTTGTCACTGAACTGTATGATTTGATGCATGTACAATTAGCTTGTTTTGGTTAATTAGCATTTGAGTTATTATTTTCACTTCAATTTTGTAGAATCTAACTGTGTAAGAAGTTCTGAAAACATGCATATAAAATGAAGAGTTGGGATGAGTTTTCGTTTAAGGATAATTCTTCTTAGAAGATATACTTTATGTGTGGCAATTAAAATCAAAATAGACCTCTGATTTTCTCTTACCGGCAGGTTCAAAATTTAATCACATGGATGGTCCTTTAGTTCTAGGAAAATGCACTAGATCCCCTTTTTGTTAACGAATCTGCTTCATTATTGCTGTACCATTTCTTTGACAGATTTATTTCTCTGACCTCACGGTCTTATGACTATATAGTGAAACTTTCATGACCCTAATCTTTGATCCTTCACTTCGCTTATATTGTGTGTGTCTGCATATTATTGGAGCATTTTCCAGTGATGTTTGTTGAGATTTCTTCGTGACTGTAGAGGAATTGAGCATGATTCTCCATTGAAACTGTGTGTAAATATCGAGGAAGGTGAATTAAGGAAAGCCTTTTGTGCTATGCTTGTTTTATGAAATGGCATGGACAATATTTGAACTAGTCTGTGGATTCAGAGAAGATGATCATGCAACATGTTGTACTGTCAAATAAGTGCTTAGCTTTACAATGAAGTTGATCACGTTGCTCCGAAAAAGAAACACTTGTATTTCATAAATTTGAAGCGCCACTCTCATTTAAAGTTGAATGCCGGATTTCCAATTTCCAATCCTATTCTTCGAGGCTCTTTTGTACATAAAACACTCTTAAACTATGTTCTTACGAACTCTAATTACCTTTAGATGCTTTTACAGGTATCATATGGAAAGAACACAATGCCTCCTGCGCCCTTAGCTCCGCACGTCCGAAGTATGCGGAAAGGATCAACAGATCATCTTGCACTTAATATTGAACCGGAATCTGTTCGCTTGATCAACAGTGAGGAAACTGATGAACAGAAAGGTTGGCATTCTCATATATATAGAATTACATCTAATGAGTACAAATCTCTGAATTGCAGAACTCAAGCAGCTGTCCTTTGTTTTTTTGACAGGTCATTTGTTCAAGTCCCTCAACACATCTGGTCTAGTCCCAAAGCAAGGAAAGTTGATTGCAGACCGAGTCGACGGATTATGGTAAATCTCTACCCAAATTATCACATGGAAAGGGAAATTTTGTTTTCCCCGGAGTGAATATTCAAGTGCTGTCTAGTGCTTATCATATGCATTTTAATCTTTTGTACATGTTTTCGTATGTTACAGGGTATCCAGTGGCCAAGTTCTAAGCAGTCGTCCCCGAGCGAGGCTTGGCCTCATCACCTACTGTCTTCTCCTACATATATGGCTACTCGGAACCATTTTATAGTGAGATCGGCAATCCTCTGGTCTTCCTATCTGGTTCAACAGCGTTGCATCATGGATAAATATGGTAGCCATTCTGTTCGTACCCATTCTTTTACTTATTTATTTATTTTCTATAAACCCATGGATATATATTTAATATCCGCAGAGGATGTAGGGTTCATACTTTTGAAGGTAACAATTCGTGACTTGTTTCAAGTGAAGTATTGCACATTGTGATAATAGACTAAAATTGAAAGTATATGATATATGTTGTTAACGGTTTTGGTTTTTGTTTTTGTTTTTTTAAAATTTGTCTTGCTTTTAGCAGTTTTTGTACACTTGGGTCACCTGAGTATAAAATGTTACAAATTGATCATTTAAGTATGGGGATGGGCATAAGTTTCAAATCTGACGGGTTTTATAGATTTGGGTTTGAGTCAGCTTGGATGGGGTGGAGATTAAATGAAAGTCTGAATTCATACCATGCATTCATACATACATCAAGCTTCGACATTATTGTCTTCATCAGCTGAACTCTACTCGTTTATTATCTCATCTTCTTATTATTATATTTTATCAAAATTAAAAACAAAAAAAATACAGAAAGACAAAAAAAATTAAGAAAATTAGGGTAAAATATACAAATGGTCTCCTGACTATAAGATGTAGTTTTATTAAGTCTATTGACTATTTAAAGTTACAAAATGGTTCTCGACTATAGGGATTTATTTTGTTGAGTTCCTCGATTATTAAAAGTTATAAAATGGTTATTCGACTATTTATTATGTTTTAAGCTCGTCATTTTCCATTAAAAAACTAACGATTGTATGAGTTGAATGTTAACATATTGACTGAGATATGATAATCATTTGAAATTATAAAATCAGATTTTATCATATCTCAATCAATAGGTTAGTGTACAACTTAGACAGTCGTTAATTTTTTAATAGAAAATGATGAGTTCGGAACATAATGAATAGTTGGGTGATTATTTTGTAACTTTTAATAGTCGATGTACTCAATAAAGTAACTCCCTATAGTAGAGAGACTATTTTATAATTTTTAATAGTTAAGAGACTCAATAAAATAATATCCTATAATTGAGAGATCATTTATGTACTTTACCCAAAAAATTATTTGTGTCGGCTTTTAATGGTATCCAATGATGTACCATTCATCAGAAGATAGAATTTTATGACGACTATCAAGTTCCAATGTTAAAAAATTAAAGTTTATTAGACAAAAATTTTAACAAGTCACATCAAAATTTCTCAACAACCAAAATAAAAATGAATTAAAAATTGAATAATTACAATATAAATTTTTAAAACTTAATGAATATTTAAATACATATAAATATCATATTCAAATCCAAAATTTTAAAGATAAGGTATATAAATAGTCTGAATTTTTTGGGTGCTTGTATTTTGGTCACTCAACTTTTAAAACTTGTAATACAATTATCGAATTTTTAGTCCGTTTTCAGAAGATTCTTGACATTACCTCCCGTTAATTTTCTTAATATCCGTTTGACAAAATTATTTTTCTCCCTTTTGAACATGAGTTGACTATTAAAAGAAAATGTTGGCTTTACTTAGTCTAGCTGCAAGTCATTAGACCATGAAAGTTAATAATCCAGATTTACTATTACAGTAAGTATCAATTCTTGTTTCCATGTTGCAGGTTGTAATTGTTGCTGTTTCTAGTAGAAGCCAATTAACCAATTTTGCAAAATCCATGGAATAATAGCCCTTCTATAGCCCATGAATGGCATCATAGAACCTTGTCTGGAAATTTGAAAGAAAAAAAACTAGTTTGGTCATGACATCCGCTGTCATGTTTGTTTCACGCCGTGTCCATTGAACTATTGTTATGCATCTTCTTAAACTACTTTGGATCATTCAGTATGTGCATTAATTGAATGAGAGTAACCAATCTCCAAAAGAATGTAAATGCAACACTTACAGATATCAGACTTGTATCAGCTGTTGCTGTTCTATCTGTATTGAGGTAAATTCATCGTAGCAATTGGATATTGTCTACGCCATTACTGAGATCCCCAGCATATAGATGTTGAATTAGAAGTTTAGTAAATGATAGATGCATGCAACTACACCCAAGATTACATGTTGGTTCAAGCACTAACTAAACTTGAATCCAATTAAGAAGTATCTGACAATTTTTATTTTAATACTGGGGATGATGACTATGTACCATGATGGAAATGCTTGAAACTATCTTTAAGGGGATAAGACACGGAACTGTATGTTGGAAGCTAACCTTGTCGAGCATTCAAACTGACGGGAGGTAACATCAGTGATCTTTCTGAAAATAGACTAAAAGTTTAGTGACTGTATTATAAGTTTTAAAAGTTGGATGACTAAAATGCAAATGCCATAAGGACTATTCAATGTACTTTACCCAACGTTTAATGATAAAAAACTATTATTTAACCATTAAACTTGCTCGATTCTTCCATGAGGTTGATGAGGAGTCGTTGAGGAATTTGATTAAGGTCAATGTTGAAGGCACCACAAAGGTTACTCAAGCTGTTTTGCCTGGGATGGTGAAGAGGAAAAAAGGTGCTATTGTCAATATTGGCTCTGGTGCCTCCATTGTTATACCTTCTGATCCACTTTATGCTGTTTATGCTGCTACTAAGGCGTGAGTGTTTCCGGTATTCGCAATGTTAATTGGGGTTTTATTGCTTTTACAACTGAAGTTGATTAATTTGGGATTTGTTTTCAGGTAAATTGAACAATTCTTTAGGTGCCTTTATGTTGAATACAAGAACAGTGGGATTGATGTTCAGTGCCAGGTAATGTTTGCTAATATATATGCCAATGGTTTAGTGTAGGAGTTCTAAATGCTATAGACATTTTCATGTAAAGGTTGAAACTTGAACCGAGATTCTAGATACGAATCAGTCTATATCCATGTTACTTGGATTCGGGTGCGAGTGTTAGATAGGTGTACGCGTTTGACTCGGTGTGACCAGTCTTTTCTATGTTTTCTTCATGTATTTGGATGATCCCTAGATGTCATATTGCCATATACGTTTTTTTACATAGGTTGAGATCCAATTCCTTAGTATTTGGTCCATTACTTTCCGATACATCAACCATTACCATCGTATGTGTAGGACCTGCCTATGGATTGTGTAAATCGCTCTTATGGATAGGGATGAATGGTGATTAAGTTTGTATTGAATGGTAATGGATGAGAGCTTCACCCGTTTAGCACACACGTGTCGTGAGGGTAGAGACTAGAGAAACACAGGTCTAAATGTCTTGGCTTTGTGCTTTTTACTATTTCAAACTTCTATCGGTAGAAGTGCCTTGCCACTTTTTCATTTGTTAGAAACTGCTGCTCATAAGTAAAAGTGATTCAGTGGTGAGTTGTTGTCTTCAACAACAAATTACCTCTATATGTAGTGTATTACAGTTCGATATTCTGTGTAAACAACCTGATTTGTGAACGTTTAGGTTAAAATTGACTCTTGTTCTGAAACATATTAATTAGCTTACCCTTATTCCCATATTTAATGGGATAAGGGGTGGTAAGATAGTAGGTTGTCCCCAACGCCAGGTTAAGAGCAACTTCCGTGGGAGACATCCAAATTATGAAAATACCCTCCGTGGGACTCAATTCCACGACCTCAAAGTTAAGAACCTTGTGCTCTACCAACTGAGCTGGATGGTCTTGTTCTGAAACGTAGATTTCTACAAATGTGTGTTGGCCATGCATGCTACCCCCGAGATCATATCGTTTTCTATATCTTAGGATTTCTTTTCTGAATACTCCTTTCGATATGAGTGTTTCTTAGTATCCCTTTTTTCCGTCCACTCAATCCTTAACTCTAGTGTTCCCCTCTTGTACTGTTTATACTTCTAAATGAGTTGTAAGAATATTTTCAGTATCGACATCCGAGGTTACATCGTGTTGTATTGTCAAAATAAAAGGGAGGGTTATCGTTAAATCGGGGTAGGAAGTCTATCCATTTGTATGATCACAAGATAAAAGATGTACTTCTATGAATTTGTTGTACTTAGGTCGGCTTACTAAGATTCCGTACCTTAACGTTGTTGCAAATATCGAGACCTGCTGGACTCTATGCATTGACATTCTCTAATCAACCAAGGGGTTTCTAAATGCAGGTTCTGTTATACGTGGCAACAAAAATGGCATCGACCGTCGACAGATGGTTACACTCGTGCAGCCATGCGCTGGATAGGCTATGAACCTCGCTGCACGCCCTACTGTCCCCATTCCATCCTCTGGGGCTTGGCTTGTTCGCTGCCGGAGAGCGTGGTCGATGCATGGCGTTTGCACTTTTGTCTCGGAATTGGAAAGAGGGCACAACTCAAAGATTCTAGGAAGAATGAATGAAAACAACTTGATGAGTCTCTTCTGTTTTTCTATTAATGTAGTTCGAAGTTCATTGGGATCAATGAGCTTCTGGCTCATTTCAACTTTTTGGGATGTACCATTTTCTCTTCCTCTTGCCGTTGTGACACTTCCATTATGTATTAGGACATGATTTGTGAATGAAATTATAGATATCTAAGAATCCGTTTCTGCATGTTCGAATTTTTTAAATTATACGAAAATTTGAAATTTTCAAAGGCACGATTGTATTCCATCCCGATATATAATGTTATTTAAGAAAGATAGAATAATTTAAAATTATATGTCACCTTCAAGACCTTACTTGTAAAGTTTAAAAACTATATTAATAATGTATTGAGTATTTTCTGTAAAAAAATATTTATTTCATTTATTATAGGAGTTGGGTGTACTTTACGTCTGGGCCTACAGGGAAAGTTGGAAAATTCGGGTTTAGGCTTTTAGCATAAGCTGGAAATAACGCGCCCAAAGCCGTGGACCTCACAAGTGCTTATTCATTATTTCTTTGGGTAAAGTAGACAAATGGGTCCCCAACTATAGAATTCTGCTTTATTAAATCTCTCTAGTATTAAAAGTTACAAACTGGTTCTCCAACTATAGAGTGTTGTTTTGTTGAGTCTCTTGACTATTAAAAGCTATAAATGGTCACCTGAATTTTCATCATGTTCTGAAGTCGTCCCTTTTCGTTAAAAGTTAGACGGTATTTTGAGCTTAATATTAACTTGTTTGATTGTGATATGATGAAATACATCAATTTTTAACGGAAAAAGATGAGTTTAGAACATAATGAATAGTCAAGTGATTATTTTTAACTTTTAATAGTCAATGAATTTAACAAAACAATATTCTATAGTCAGAGAAACATTTTGTAACTTTTAATAGTCAAAAGACTT